CAGCGAATCAATCTCGATCAAGGGCCGAGGGAAAGGTGGAGCGGGATATCAATGCTGTCAACGGCCTGGGCCAGGAGAGACCCGTCTATGGTGTCGTGTTGCCCAATCATCGGCAAAGCTGCTATTTTCTGCGTCTCTTCGCCCCCGTGGAGGTGCATCTGGAGTGTGTGCCTGTGCCAGAAACAAGAAAATCGAAATCCAGGGAATCAAGCGATCAACTTGGGCGCCTCCACGTGTCGATGGTGGTCGGGCTCAGCCCAGTGGGCAGATGGATGGAGCGAGTGGAGGAACTGCGATGCAAGTAAGCTCGACAGCCGCCGGCGTGCTTTCTGCCTGGAGATATGGAGCAATATTGTTGTCAGCGCGCAGAAGAATAGAGCGTAAGTGCGTGGTGACGATGGCCAGAGTGTACGAAGATCCCGTTTAGGAGTTGATGCAGCAGTCAAGAAACCAACTCAAGGCAATTCGTAAGTGCAAGCAGTCACGCTGTGAGAGTCGGGAGTCGTCACTCACCCAATTGCTGCAAAGGCAACTGCAAAGAGAAGAAGAAGGAGCAGTCCTGATGAAGTGGAGCCGCATGGCCCCTGTTTCAGCTCCGCCCCCCTGTTCCTTCCACCGGTTCTTACTGGCTTCCCACCTGGGTCCGAATTGTGGGCTCCTTCCCCGGGGCTGGCCGCTCCAAGTGCCCCGCACCCTTGTCTTTCGCTCCTTCTCTTGGCCTGACATTTTTTTTTGGTAGACCAGGGCAGGAACAGGAGGAAACACGCGCCTTCCATTGGGTGAAGCGAGGCAGGCATTGGCCGTTTGACGATCCGGCAGCGGGAAGGTGTGAAGGTCTGGACTGAAAAGGAAAGGCGCCAAGGGGTGCATCTGTGGCCTGCAGGAGCGAATGTTCATTCTCAGAGGAAGGAGCGAGCCCTTGGGCCAAGAAGTGGGAGTACGTAGTATTGTGGAAGCAGGAGCGAGAAAAGACGGTAAAAAAAAAAAAAAAACATGGTCATGAAAGAAAAAAATAGTAAAAAAAAATATCGGTGGCCGCAGACGCGACGGTGACATTTCTCTCCTCTTGGCTGCTGTTCGCCTCGTACTTACTTAACAAAACATCTCCTATCCGCATTTCTTCCTCCTACACTCACCTTCTCCTTCTGACTCTTTTTCTTCGTCTGAAAAATCACCCTCCTGTCACTACTATCCGTCAAACTTGTTCATCTTCTCTTTTCGTCCGACACTCGCTTTTCACCAGTTCAACCCCTTGATCACCAAGTTCCTACTTCACGGTAGCCGTACCTGTGCTTACCACACCATCTCACCTCCTGGCCCTGGTCAACGTCCACACCATCAGCGCCCTTTCGAGTTTAACTCCCGTCTAATATCCCAACCGCACACAAGGTCCCCCCCTCCTTCTCTCATCATCCCGACCAATTTCATACCCCTTCCAGCGCTACCGCTTCATATACCAAACACTCCCGCGCCAAAAGCTGCCTTACCGTCCTTACGGTCCTAACTCTTTTCGACCGACCATCCCTCACTCCCGCCGCCATCGCTGCCGATTGACGGACAGGGTCAGTCTATAATCGATAAGTTCGGAGCATATCAATAAGCTCCTCCTCCCCTTCCCGCTCCCCTTCTTCCCTCCCACTCCCGGATATGCCACACCTAAACACCTCGGCCTACGAAGTTCCAACAATCAATATACCAACAAACGACTCCGGAGTCACACCTCACATCATGGCCGAAGAAGGTGGTCACGCGCCCACGGGCGGCAACAGCCACAATCCTGCCAGCGACAACCAGCACCACCAGGATTTCACCATCAAGCCGCGCATGACCGACTTCAACACAGAAGACGTGCGCGATACCATGTCCCCTACTGGACCCATGACCCCGAACCCGTTTAGCAGAAAGAACACCAGCATTGACATTGACGACTACTTCACCGGTCCTCGCGATATCCTCAAGCACTCTAAATGGCCTCTGTTCATGCAAATGCACGGCAGCATTCTGCCCAAGATGATTGTTCCTCTCATCTGGATGTCTCTGTGGGCTGCCGCTATCACCGTCATCGACAAGTACCGTACCACTATGGGTGTCGACTCTGTCCTGCTTACCGTCCTGGGTTTCGTCGTCGGTTTGGGTCTTTCGTTCCGCAGTTCTACTGCTTACGAGCGCTATGCCGAGGGTCGCCGTTACTGGGCCCAGCTCATTCTTGCGACACAGAGTCTTGGCCGCGTCTTCTGGATCCACGGTGGTGACAATGAGAACATCGACCCCAGACAATCGCTGCTCCGCAAGATTGGCTGCATGAACCTGCTTCTGGCCTTCTCCGTCTCCCTGAAGCACAAGCTCCGCTTCGAACCCTACACCCAGTACGAGGACCTCGAGCATCTCGTTTCCCACCTGACGACCTTTGCGCAAGAAGCCACGGCTGCCGAGCCCGAGAAGATGACCCTGAAGAAGAAGAATTTCTTCAAGGAGACTGGCGAGTACCTTGGTGTTTCCTTCGCCGCCAGCAACCCCCGCAAGACCATCAAGAAGGCCTCCCGTCCTCTCGGCAACCTGCCCCTCGAAATCCTGTCCCACATCTCCTGCCTCGTCGACAAAATGGTTGAGGATGGCCAGCTCAAGGTCCCTATGCAGCAAACCCTCGCCTACAACAACGTTGCCCTCCTGAACGACATCATGACTGGAACTGAGCGTGTTCTGACCACGCCTCTGCCCATTGCGTATGCCATCGCCATCAGCCAGATCACCTGGGTGTACGTCATGCTGCTTCCATTCCAGCTAATTGACAAGCTCGGCTGGATCACCATTCCCGCCACCGTTGCTGCTGCCTACATCATTCTTGGTATCCTCTTCATTGGTCGCGAGATTGAGAACCCCTTCGGCGAGGACGTCAACGATTTGCCCCTCGAGGTCTACTGCGAACAAGTTGCCTCCGAACTCGACATCATCGCCTCATTCGAGAAGCGCGACCCCTACCGCTTCATGGAGTCTTCCCAGAACCTGCCCTTGTTCCCTGCCAGCATGGCTCCCTACCACATCTGGATGGGCCGTTCCGAGAACCGCGTCCGCGAGGCCATCAAGTCCAAGCACAACACCGTCTTCGAGTTCCGTAAGAAGGTCATTCTCGAAAAGGTGGCGTCAAGAGCCGGCAACACTGCGACAGAGAAGAAGCCTAGCAGCGAAGGCACTACCACTATTAATGGCGACCACAACGTCTAAACAGACTGTGCGCTTTCGCTTTGCTTCGAGTCTTTTCTTCATCTCTTTTCCTTCCCCTCTATTTGCATCAGAAAGGGTTTCGACGAGAGCGGGTTTAGCGATTTGCGTCAAGGAGCATTTACGGCACGGGAAAACAAAAGATTCTTTCATATATGGCCCCGACGGGTGGCTTTTTGCGGCATAGGAACGGTTTCGGATCTTTCTTTTCACTGTAATAACCTGATTCCTGGATGACACAAAAGGACAGGTGTGGTTTTGAGCGTGGCATTTTCTCTCATGGCATTGAGACGACAACAGAAACAACATACCAAAATTGAATGCAAAACATTTCAAAAACAAGGACCTTCGTCAGAGTACCGAGTGAACTATATTGAGTAACATGCACACATGTCTTTGCCTCCCTGCTAACTCTCATACTCGAAATAGGCCTTGCTCTTCCGTCTTGACGACAAGATCCTATCCTCGGTCTCGAAAGCCTGGGCACTATCGAACAACGGCGCGGGCCGCCCTCCGTAAAGTGGGTGTGTGAGTGGGTTCCTCGGACCTCGATCGACCAGGGTCTGAGGCAAAACGTCAGACCAAGCGGAAACCGAATCAAACGTATAGTGAATGCGCACGACTTTTACTTATAGGTTAGGTTACCTTGGATCGAAACAAGGGGCCATTCCCTCACTTGCAAGAACCACGGCGTCAACTCATGGGTCGTTCTAGACTTTTGCGGAATGCTCCATCTTGCGACTTTGCTTCCGCCCCGTGGGCGGCGAGGTAGTCCACCCGGACTCGGGGCATCGGGTATGTTCATGACCTGGTCTTTTAACCTCTCAGAGGATTTCTCCAGTATGGATATCATACTTGCCTACGGCAAGCCAAGCCGGCCGCCCGTCAAAGCAGCGCCCGGCTCCGCGTCGTTTAGTTTGGGACCGGAGGGTGGATTCTGACACCAATGGAGGGGAACGCCACGTAAACGCCACGAGAATCAGTGCCTTGGGACGGAGCCGCCGGTGTAACCGAGATCTTTACATCATATCTGCCCACCTGCACAAGCAGCCAAGGTAGGGCTATGATCTGACAAGGCGCGACAGGTCGATCTGGTCGATTCCGAGCCTTCGGACCAGATATCCGGGATCCCATCGATCGCCCCCAAGGGTCGCTTTCTCCACTTGGCTGGAGACACCGTCACGCCTCGCTACGTATGTGCCTTGTGTGCGTATACGCCCGAGAGGATCCACGGAGAGGTAGAAAAAACGATTCATTGCATACGACTCGTTATATATGATTCAATTGTTGTTTCGGGGGATGATCTAACGATTGGTAGCTTTGGAGGGGTTCATGTTCGTCGCCCGTCGAATTCGGAGCTGGTTCGTGCATGGACTATCTTATCGGCCGATATTCCTACACGGCGCGGGTGAGACATACCGCTGGAAAACACAGCATCTCGAAATGCTGAAAGAAGTCCAAGACGTTTTGACGAAATCAATAGGCTACCGGCTCCCATTCCGAATTCGGTGGTTCGAATGCGGCCATGGGAATGGTTACATGTTTCAGGAGAGGTGAAAGGTCTTTACGATGAAGATGAATTTGGAGGAGAAGCGGAAGGTGGACTGGCGTGACTGAGTGCCTCGCTCCATCGAACCCAGGTGGGAAGAAGATCCAGCCACAAGTGGGCGCACTTTAAGCGTGGATCGGTTCGCCGGATCCGGAGCGGCCATCGTGCAGCCGGGGACGCGGCCTCTGAGACATTCGCTTTCCGAACGCGTGCCGGGAATGGATTGAGGCTCGTGTAAGCGTCGCACTTGAAGCCCGTGGCGTTCTTTTGCCCGTATATGTGGTAAAGCCTTTCTCTCTTTCACCGCGGAGGGTCCTACATGTCTTTTTCTGGTCCTGCTCTTCTCTTCGTTTTTCTTGATTCCTTGTTCTTGTCCTGAACTCTCTTGTTTATGTTCGACTGCATGCTGCTATCATTCACAGTTGTGTCCAAAAAGGGTAATAACAGCTGAGGGCTCTAGCTCCCCTAGCTTCCAAGCAGCTCGGAAGGGCCGTGAAGCCATCCTTGCACTCGCTTGGAGAGAAACGAACCGAAACACGACTGGGACTCCCGTCGCCCAAAAGGACGGAACCCAGAACCCCAATGCGTGTCTCGCAATAAAAGCATTCGCAACCAGGGGCATCGAACTTACTCAATGTTGATCTGGCCCGGGCTAGAAAAGGAAGACATGGACGTGTCTTCCAATGAGACCACCGAGGGAGGCTTCGGGTCGACGCAAATGCAGGCGCTCTCCCACGAGAGCCTCGCCAACATGATGCTCGGCGTCATTATCGCAGTGCTCGTCGTCACGACTGTGTTTGTCGGGCTGCGGATCTATGTAAGGTCGCGGGTTATCAAGAAATGGGGTGCCGATGATACGATGGTGACGCTTTCGTTTGCTACGGTGGCTTTCCATGGGATCATGCTGTGTCTGGGTAAGCTTTTCTGATATTGAACTCTTGGACATGGTCGCGAAGATGAGTTGTTCAGGCGGAGAGGAAAATTATGGAAGAGGAGTTTGTGGGCTGACGTGGGTGAGAGGGATACAGGTACCAGATTCGGACTCGGAAAGCATGTCTGGATGACGCAGGCGCAAACAATCGAGAAAGCTCAAAAGGTAAGTTTTTCACGAAACATGGGGATTCCATCTTTTCCTTGATGCTGATTGTACATGCCTAAAAATAGCTCGCGATGTTCATCGTGATGATCTACAACATCGCCTTCGTCACCATCAAGATCGCCTTCCTCCTCCAATACCGCCGAAGTTTCCCTCTTCTCATGGTCGAGATGTTGTGCAACGCTGGTATCGCGTTTCTCGTCTTGTTTGGAGTATCGCTAATGGTCTCGGCGGGTATAACGTACAGTTTGGTACTCAAGCGCGAGATGACGGATTCGCCCGTCAGTGTGTTGGGATGGTGGCTTGCCAATGCGTCAATGCACCTGCTTACGAACATCTTCATCTTCGTTCTGCCGTTACCCTTGCTCGGTAGGCTGAGACTTCGGCGGGGAGAGAAGCTGGCTCTCGTCATCAGCTTCGCCCTGGGGCTATTGTGAGTTGGAACTCTTCATTCCTTCATGAGACGCTTTGGTATTAACGCGGATTTGTTCCCGCCCAGAATATGCGCAGTATCCATCATCCGGATCGCATATCTCCCAGGGTCTTTTGACATGGTCGACATGACGTACGATGGAATATCCATCATCCTCTGGTCCGTCGTGGAACTCTCATGCGCGGTTATCTGCTGCTGCATCCCCACCCTCCGACCGCTCGTAGAACGACGACAACGAGGCCTGGCCGACGACTACGACGATGCCACCATCTTTGGCGGAGGTATGTTCAGAGAGGACATGACCTTCGGCGAGGGCTCGCAACGCGTTCGCCCTGATATGCGCGGTGCCAACAACGAGAGGATATCGTCGTCCATCAGCTGCGCTTCAGAAACGGGCATGAGGAAACCCGGTCCAACCTTTTTCTGGCTGCGCACACGGAAGCAGAGCGACCACTCGAGCATCAACGGGCTCGACGACATTGCGCCCATGCCCACGCACGCGGGGCCTATGATGGCGGCTGCCGCTGCCGCAATGCCGGTGGTGGAGGTTCACGGGGTCAGGCGGGAGAGCGAGTATGGAATCATCGTTGTGGAGAGTGAGCGCGTCGAAGGGGGGGTGGAACGTGAGCGTGAGATCCCTCGACGGGCGAGCGTGAGGAGTAGTCTGCGTAGTGACAGCAGTCTCGGGGTGGCGCTGCGTAGAGATTTGAGTGTGAGGAGGCACATGAGCATAGCGTTGACGGAACGGGATTCGGATGATGATGTGTACTACTTTGGTGTTAATGAGGAGGATGTGGACCTGGAATGCCCGACGCCACTGAGTCCGCCGCCAAAATGTCGGAAATCGACCAGTTCGTGATGGATCAAAAGATGTCTATCTGTTTAGACTTTGTAAAACATACTGTACGGCGTTTGGGCGGTCGGAGTTTCTTTCCATTGATGGCGATTTTGGAGTTTCGCATTCGTGTGGCGGGCCTCAAAGGAATATCATCGTATAAGTTAATGATGAAGAAGATTTTGGAACTACATGCATTGAAAGCCGCCCAGAATCAGTCCACCCGCAGACCAGCTTCCTTCAGTAAGGGTAAAATCTTCTCGCCAAAGTACTCTAGGTCCGGTGCGAAGTCGTAAAAGTTGATCTGGACACCATCGATCCCGACCTTGTGCAACGCATCTAGCTGCTCAACGACCTGCTCCGGCGACCCGATAATCTCAATATTCCCTCCCAGGTTCAGCCCCTTATTCTCCTTGGCATCTTTCCTACCCCTCCACGCATGCGCATCACTATCATACGCTCCATTCGCCGTCCCAAACTTCTTGGTGCCCGCCTGGATCTTGGTCCCCTCGGCGATGCTCTCCGCATACGCCCACGCCTCCTCGGGCGTGTCTTTTGACACAATGATCGGGTTGATGATGATCTTGACCCCGCTACGGCCCTGGGCTTCGATAGCGGCCCTGATGTTCGCGATATGGGCCGGCAGGGTCTCGAGCGCGCTGTCAATGTGTGCCGTCCCCGGCGAGGTGATGAAAATGAGGTCAGAGTACCGCGCGGCAAACTCAATGCCTGCGGGCGAGCCCGTCGCGTTGACGAGGATCGGGCGACCAAATTGCGGCTTTGGCGTGACCCACGCATTCTCGAGGCGCCACGGCGAGACTTTGCCCTCGTACGAGATATTCTCCGTCTCATTCCAGAGACTATTCACCACATCGAACAGCTCGCCAGCCATTTTGTACCGCTGATCATGTTCGATGCGCTGCCGGCCAAACATCTCGTGCTCCACGGCCCGATGGCCCGTGACGACATTGATACCCCAGCGCCCCTTGGCGATGTGATCCAGCGTGGCACCGTACTTAGCAATGTGCAAAGGGTGAAGCGGTCCGTAGAGCACGTGCATGGTCGAGATGAGCAGGATGGACTCGGTCACGGCGGCCATGGCGCCGAGGGCGACGAAGGCGTCGAGCGAGGCCTCGCCGTCGTAGCCGCCTTTAGGGAGCCATTGGGTGCGGCTGAAGGCGAGTTCGAAGCCAAGTTGTTCGGCACGGCGGACGAGAGCGACGTTGTAATCGAAGGTCCAGGTGTTTGTTGTGGGTTGCGTGGAGAAGTTGATGTCTTGCAGGTTGAGGAAGAGGCCTAGGAGGAGGGGTTGGCGGGAGGCTCTGCGCAGGGGGCTGTCTTTGAAGTCGAGGGGGCCTTTGAGTTCTGGGCCGCCTTCGCGGACAGAGGTTGGAGACATGCTGGTTGTAAACCGAAAGCTTGAAATTGGGAGATGAACTATAATGAAGCTCAAACGTCTTGTTCTTATTATTTACATTGAGGTTGAGTGATGAGAATGAGAGCTGAGGCGTCTTGAAATATGTCCTGTCTCCTCATCGGCATTTGGCATTAGACGAGTTGGTTATGTAAGTTGGAGATGATGTGCAAGTGAGGAGCGATGTCGAGATCGCATCCTGCGCCGGTTCATGTGCATGATAATTGCCGACTATCTCCGCCATCGGCTGACTTTAAGCACGCCATCGAGTGTTATCTCAACCCTCCACTACTTGCACCGGCATTTAAGTGCGTGTATAGATGCACAGTAGAGACTTGAACGAAGAGTGGTGCCAATCTTCGGATGATCGACTGATGTTGAGAATCAATTAACACCTCGATATTGAGGTTCTAGAGTTTTGACCTGGCTGCCTCAGACTTGACAATTGTCGGCACTTCATCTTCCAGACTCTTCTCCTGTGGCTTCCATCCCAGAACCTTCTTCGCACGCAAGGCAGAAGCTCGGGAGTTCAAGCCCCAGCTAGCCGCCTCGAAACCAGCAGATGACTTGACGGCTTCGTCATAAGATAACTCCCGTACCTCGGGCTCTTGCTTGATGAAGCCCTGCTCATGGGCTGCCTTTCCAACCAACGTTGACAGATCACCCCAAACATGCTCGCCGTTCTCCGTGAGGAAGTACCCTTTGGCACCCCAGATCTCCTTGTCGTCCTTCCGAGATGGGTCGAGCGCGGCCTCAGTCAGCAACTCAAACACCACGCTGAGATCATGAACGTGGACGTTGTTCCACCGAGCAAGTCCCTTGCCAATACGAGGGCTGTATCCTTCCTTCAACACAAAGGTAGCCAGCTCGTACACCTGACGGCCACGGCCCGACACGGGTCCTCGCCCTTGGCCGTAGATCGTGGGAGGGCAGACAATCGCAGTCTTGACGGAGTCGGCGTGCTTGTTGCCAGTCTCGAGGACGATCTCGTCCACATTGCGGTGGAAAGCGTCAGCTGGCAGGTTGACGAGCTCGTCGACGCCATCGTAGTCGTTGAAGACCTTATCGTCGTGCTCGCCAAACGTCTTCTTCACTTCCGAGTCGAAGTACGTCAGGATGCCGGTGCCGCCTGTGTGCAGCCAGAACCCTGGCCGGGAGGGGGAGTGGCCCGCTACGAGTCCCTTTGAAATAGCCTTGGCTGCACCTGCGTGGTCTGAAGAGTCGGCAGTGTCTGGATAAGGTGAGCACATGTCGATTGGGGGTTAAGGGAGATACGGGATAGACAACTTACGAATCACGACATCAGCCCATGCCGCCTCGCGCTCCAGGGTCTCAGAGTCATCAAGCCCCCCAATAACAATCCTGGCTTTCGGATACTTCTCGAGAACCTTGTCTGCCTTTTCTTGAGTTCGGATGAGAAGCGCGTATTCGAACTCGGGATGCTTCTGGTACAGCTGGTAAAGGGCGTCGCCGCCGATGTAGCCCGTGGCTCCTGTGATAAAGATCTTGGCAGTCATTGTAGCAGTCTGTACTTTAGGTAACTTGTAAAGACGAAGAAGCTGGACTGAACTTCGGACTCGCCTAATAAATAGCGAAAAGTGATGTTATCACTGGCGTGATTTACGTGTGACTTACGTAGCTAACTGTCGCTTTCTTCTATGACGTCGGCGTGGATTTCTAATCGTGAGTAAACCGCCCCCGGAAATATGTTTAGCCATCGAGGGGCACGGGAAGTGATTTCCGTCTTGCCTCTCCCCACCGGTTTGCGAGCAATCATTGGCTTCTGTCATGTTAAGAACGATCACTAATATTTCTAGATGTATCGCTAGGTGAAATAAGCTTATTTCCTTTCAGACGACATGAAGATTATTTGCTTTTACTAGGAGAGCCGTGCAATCGAGTTGAGGCTGCCCACGTAGGCGGGGATGCCCCTCAATTCTTATTTTCACACGGTCCCACCCTCGTCAAAATCCGAGATACCCCCTTAACCAGACCAGAGGGAGACTTCAGAAAGACATTCCGGCCAATGCCGTCTCTGTCTGTGTAGATGCACTACTCAAAGGCGGCACATCTGCTCCTTCATAAGGAATACATCCATATGTGGCTGTGAACTTTCACAGTCTCCGGATTGGCAGTTTCCAGCGCCGCAAAAGTCTTCATGTCTTCCGCAGCGGCCATAAACGCTGCAGCAAGTTCCCTGCTTGCCAGCACACTTGCGATTCCCGTTTGCATATCCGCAGGTCCCATCGGTGGTGTACACCTTGTGGCCCCAGCAAATACCCTCCCAGCAGGTGCCAGGAGCACAGTCTATGCTGAAGCACGGTGAACAGTGTCAGCATCTGCAATTTCCGGTGAAAGACAGCCATCAATATCAGGAAAGGATCGGGACTTTATCACTTACTCTCTTTGACCACATCGCCAAGTCTCAGAGTTGCAGCATTGCCCATTAGTCCCGACACAGGTGACCCCCGGGCGCGACGGGCCACAGATGCCATCCCAAGCTCTTTTCGGTTCGACGACTAACGCGGGTAGAACGATAAGTCTGATTACAGTAAGAGCTCGGACATTGGGGTCACGTACATCCACGAGTGCAGTATGAGGCGCAAGGGAGTATGTTCCCGCAGTCTCGGTCCAGAGAAGGATTGAGGAAGAAGAACTTGTCTAGTGTGATCCCGTAATGAGTTGCGAGCTTTTGACAGGTCTCCGGACCCACGTTCTCATTGGTGTCGCTAGTATAGCGGCAGTTGATCTCTCCAGGCTTTGTGTCGGCACCTCTGATCCCATGAATGGTTGTGTGAGTTGTGCACGCGCGTGGTCGTGAAATCGTGGCGGCTGGACGGCGGGGGGTTGTGGAATCTTCCCAAGTCACCGGTTTGCATTTTCCAGTGCTAGCGAGGCCAGATGATAGCGGAGTGATGCAGTCTACCGTCTTGGCAAAGAGAAGGATCGCAAGACCTGCAATCCCGCTGTTTGCGAAAAAATTACCAAGCTTGGGATACATTACGACTCCGAGTCGGGGTCAGAGGTGATACAGGGAAAATGAAGCGAGTACCAGTATGCTTGGCGAGCGATTCAGTGATACTTGTGCGCTTATGTTTTGAGGAATTTTGAAAACGCGAACCCCGCCAAGTGGCCAGATCGCGAAAGCACAAGACTGTTCAAAAGAACTATGGAAAGTGAGGTAGTCTGGGGAACTTTTGTTAGTCGCCATGGCAACATTAGGCAGCAGCTTCCCGCTAAAAGTAATACGATGGAGACATGACTGATACGGGAAAGCAGCGAGCATCAATAATAGCTCTGTCGAATGCTGAGTACAGTCACTATCTCAGCAGTCCATGGGCGACAACATCAAGGATGCAGCTGAGATTGAATTGGTATGTGGCGGCCCGTTTTTCGGTCGTGTTCGTCACCATGCCGTCGATGCCCCTGGCGCCTAGCAAGAGCCGCCTCCTAATTGAGAATGAGTCCTGAAGCATCTTTCACGCATCACGTTAGAGGGCGGGCAAATGATTTATGTTTCTCGATGGCCGTGGTATTATTTGCTGCGGTATTCGTATTCTTCACGAGTCATTCATGGAGAGTAATGGCAGGGCCGCTCCATATTAGCTGCCGAAACCCGACTCCGAAAACGAAGGGGAATCTCGCGCATCATTTAGCAGGATACGCGTATTCCAAGTCCTGGTAAACTCAACCACATCGTTTTCTGCCAGAACGGAGAGAACTGGGTCTCTTGCCAATCGAGGATGCTTAAGTCAGAACTGCTACATGAACTGGAAATCGACATGGAACTGTTGGTTAGAGCGGCGTAGATAGCTTGTAGTAATAGGAGCAGCTGAGATTTGCCGTGATGGGCTTCAGTCAAGCCAGACGGGGTCGATGGCTGGCGGACACTGACGCTAAGTAAACACACTACAAACATACGCTGGCAGATTTCGGTCTCTCCCGGTGCAGTACAACCGCCACGGGGATCCAGCATTGGTTTGATCAGAAATCAACAATTAGCGGAGTTGACTTGTGTACTATTTGAAAGGTCATCTTCAGCTTGGCTGGAGTGGAGAGCGGACTACTCCGTCGAACAAAATGAGATTTGTCGCGGTGAAAGCTTGATTATAGGACACTATATCCGGCGGATCCGGGAATATCTTCAACCTAGCACTGAAGGATTGGCATGGCCATCGGCGTTAACCTAACTAGATTCTTTCCATAAGACATGACTAGTACCCTTGTTATAGCAAAGGTATCCCAATCGTAGTAAAATTCCTTGTAAGCATTCAGCATGTAGGTAGCATGCTGCTGTTCCATCATGTATCAGTGCCATTCTTTGTTTCTCGTTTGCAAAGAAGGAGCCGAAACAGGATCGTTCAATCATGGTAACCAAGTTCTATCATCAAGTAACCTTCTGACATTCAGAAAGTATCCAAGTTGACTCCATGCCCCAGACGGAAGGGTGATCGTCATTGAGCCTCGGCCTTGCCGCTCTACCTAATTGACGACGGGTCTTACCTCGAACTTAGTTCTGCCTCTTCATATCTGTCAATCTCGAGAGATGTCCTATGGAGCGGTGTCACATGAAGCCAGGCTAGCGCCTTCATTCAGTGATTGTTAAGAAAAGAGAGGATATAAATATTCGTTGTATCTCGTCGTTTCTCATGGAATATATTTCAGCAGACTAAACGCCTTTCACCGTGCCTCAGCCACTCGCCTTTGACTTTTGCAGATCCAGCCTGAATCTTTAGACTCTTGCTTAGGCAACCGGTATATCTAAATCATGTTGCTTGGTTATTTTTTTTTCACCTTACTATCGATCGTTCTTAATGTCACCAGCGTCTACGCCACTTCCGTCGACAATGGAGACATAACGAAGGACGTATCCTTACACAAGCGAGAGGCCGAAAAGCTCCAAGCAAGGCTGGTATGCTACCACAAACAGTCTTATCACGTAGCTATCGTGATCGACCGCGACGAATATGACGTATCCTATCGCTATCACGCGACCCAAAAGGGTCAAACCCGAACTTTCAAGCTTGACCGCGATCGCCGTGAGTCAGGCAGCTACGTCGATTCTGCGATTCCGAAACTTGTCGCCAATATTCCCATCAACGGATACGTCGACACCTTCGACGAAGTCGACGAGCTCATCAATGACACGGATCTTCTTCCCTCGAACGGATACGACTGCTGGCAATACCTCAAGAATGCGCTGAATGCAATGCGACAGAGCGGCTGGCTGACGCAGTCCGAGATGGACTCTGCCTATGACGAACTTCTGCAGAAGGCTCAGGATAATGGTATGACTTTGACTTGTCAGGCTCTTTGAGCTGGGGGATAGCGACCATTCGAATTTGCTCTTCTCAGTATATGCGAAGACTTGGGCTACAAGTCACATCCGGATTGCTCGGTCTAGAAGTGTACTAGAATGTATTCTGCCTGTATATGACAAGAACTCAGCAGAGTATCAATGACTTCAACAGAGGGGGTTGGTAGCAAAACGGATCAAGATCGGGAATGTGACACTTTTGGAAGTTCGTGAGATGTAACAAGATCCACTAAGCGTTGAACAACAATTACCAATAATTCTGAAAAATAGCCCTTGAGTACAGAGGAATTATGTCTTGACCTGACTACTTGAATTAATGTCCCTGTCATTTTCTCAAGTTAAACAAAATGAGAAACCGGACCCCCCCCCTCCCCCAAAAAAAAAGAAAAAAGAAAAGAAAAGTTGTATAATGTGATGAGTAATCTATTCTATCTAGGACTCGATGTGATAATGACATTTACAAGCTAAAATTTGACACAGGAGTGATATTAGTAATAGGAAGTATCACTAGTCGTTGCTAGGCAGCGTAAATCGGTTGGATAGATTGAGTCTTTACATTTATATTGTATGATCACTTTACAGAGGGAGGTAGATTCTCTGCGATGATACAGATGAGTCATGGAAGTAAGACGTCCGAATACAACATAAAAGCATCATTCATGTCATCCGAGAAGCTGTGGGGAGGTCAATATTGCATGGTTGTTACATTAGGTAATGCGTGCTGACTTGTACTTGAGTCTGTTATGGTTGGTTGGGTAAGACTACATTACTTCACTAAATACCTACGCAGGAAGAGCTTGCCAAAGAAACTTTGACTGTATAGCGCGGCTGAATTAGACTATTCTAGCTTATCTTGTCTATTCTCGGATTATCAAGTATACTTCAGCTCGGCTCCACAAAGCCATTATACTGACCGCCTCCCCCAGAGCTCAAGTTACATGGATGAGTTTATTCGAAATTTCCCGACAGGTGTTGGGCAGAGTAGTGCTATTCCATCATGGATATACGTAACCGTTGAAGTATTAATCAGTAGCGCCTCTCATCCTGATCCTTTTCAAGTCACTGTGCATTCGTAGGTCCCTTCTCGCCGCTCGGGGGCGGAGCACCAACTGGCTCCTTGTCCTTAGGTGGAGAATCGCTGATCGGATCCTCCTTCATACTCGAACCAGCCTCTTGACCTAAGCATCCCTGCTGGTCCGTAAGACCGCCGTAAAAGCTTTCTCGGTATGCGGCGTCCAGCTGAGCCTGGAAGTTGGCGTCGGTGAACGGCACTTGAGTCTTTTCGTATTTGACATCGGACAACGCTTTCTTCGCAGCCTCGGGAAGAGAGAACCAGCTGACGACTGTGCGCTCAAACACCTTGTCTCCATCAGCACCTGTGAATGGGGAGAAGGCATTGTCGTGAATCTGCATTTTGGGGTGTGTCGGCGTATCCACTCCGACTCCCGAGGAAGCGTACGAGATTTTGCCCGCCGGTGCAGTATCCCAGACAAGATGATCGGTCGTAAATGACACACCCACAGGCGACACGGATGAGGCGTCTTCCCCGCAGCCAAACTGGTTCAACCAGATTACCACGCTGGCCCAGTAGTGTCTATGACCTTCGTTGTTGCCCTTGCCCCAGCGGACCTTGGGCATGTAGTAGGAAAACATGATACCAGTACGATCCTGACTTTGTCCACCCCTGACATAGACTTGGGCAGTGCCTCCGGCATCACATCCGCTTCTGCCACCTCCAGTCGGCCTCAGACCTTCCCTAAATTGCTTTCTATTAGTCTCGTTTCGTGCCCATGGATCCTGTGGAAGGCGGCAAGTCTGATCTTACCCAAGATTGCCGGTGGCATCAACAGCGGGATACGGATCGCAGCCGCCTGAAACATAGAGGAACGGATTGAATCGAAGCTCTAACTGTCCTTCAAATCCCGTCGAGGCGCTCTGGGTGAGCGGGACGATCTTATCGTGGCCCAGTGTCGGATGCCCGGCATAATCATCATTGCCTCGTGGGAGGACAGAGGACAATGCGCCATGAATGAAGAGGCAGCCAAGGGACGGCTGCAATATGCTGAGCTTCATGCTGAAATCGTTCGCCTCGAGTTAAGAGGTTACAAAAGACCACAATTGGAGGACACGAGTGGCGGATGGATTAGAATGAAGGAAGCGATGGCATTAGAGATATCGGAACAAGTTGACACAAACCGGCTCACGAACGGGGATACTACTGTGACTTTATTTGTCAGTGGCTGACTTCAGACTTTCGATGTGACTTTATTGCAGTAGCTACATGTAATTTCAAAGTTGCCTCCACCTGAATTGTTATAGCCTGCGAACTCTTTTGTGCACGATCTGTTATTAGTTTCATCATGGTGTGAGCTTCTATGCGGTGTTTCCGAATCCAGACCACTCCGTACCTGACTCTCGTCTTTTTCTGGCGGGGAAGAAGATAGCTTGACACTAACCCAGACCCAGCAATCCGTATGAGATCTACAAGTCTTGCCTTGGTATTCCCAAGAAGAAAATATACCTTCGGTTGAGCCGGCCCTCTTTGTATTTTGGGTGAGTTCTTGGGTAATACTTGTCAGCCTTACCTGACTGCCGAATTGTGTTTAGTTAAATTTGTGGGCACAGCCGCTAATTAGAGACGGCTGTCGAGGAACCATCTGCGATGAGGCTAAGGAATTAGACTTTTCTAGAAAAAGTTGTGACCTGTTGGTCCTTGCTACCAAGTTCTCAATACGAGGCGCCCTGCACTCCTCGAATGACGTGTGATGATGCGACATCAGCCCAGATTCACTATGTGTTCTAAGCCTAGTCTAATCTGCTTTCGAGCTACAAGGTCTAGTAGCAAAATACAACTCCATCATGAAGCTTCAAGTCAACACCTCTTCTAAGCCGTTGTGCCTGCATAGAGGACCGGGCCGATCGCATGCGGGAAGCATGTACCTCCCGAGTCGAGCCAAAGCTCAAGGATGAAGTACAGATAGCTTGGCACGTATATTAAACTTTAGAGGTGCGGGCCGAACTCGGTTGTGCCCATTGGCTACGGTTTCATAACCAAATGAAAGACAGAAGTGTCAATAAAATGACAGCAATGTAATTAATACCCCAACTAGAGTATAGTCTAAACGCAAAAGACTACGGATACTCCGGGTGACAGTGCGGCAAGTTTCTGTTACGTGACGTTCCCCAGGATCAGAATCGTGCAAGTGTACCAAAACCAGGATCCTGGAGGCGAATTATTCGGAGCAATGACTGCTAGGTCTCAAACGTTAACCGCAAGTTCAACTTTGTTTTGTGGTCGACCTGAAACTTATATGAAATTGAGGGACAACTGGATAGGGCTGGGAGGTTGCATGTAATTCGTCTCTTAACCCGCCTTAGCTTCGAGTGAAGTCACTTGAAAACCATCCGTTTCGGTTATGACCGAATCAGACCGGCGGTGGGATAAATGAACACTATTATGGTGAGTAATCTCTGTATTCTCCGGTCATTCTCTACCAGGATGGACTCCAGCCTGGACAGCCCAGAAGGGCTGCTGACTTCTGAGGAAAGGCGTCAATTACACCAGCCAGAATGTGCTTTAAATCAAGACAAAACTTCTTGAAAATGGAATGGCTTGATTAGCTCGTTGTACAGACTTTCACACCTTCCTCCTCTTATAAATCTCGTCACTATGCGCTTCTTACTTTCGACTGCCGTCTTTGGCCTCCTTGTCTTCTTGAGTGGCTTTGTCCACAGCGCTGCAACGGACATTGATGCACAGTCCCTAGCAGAGCGTTCAGGGACCTCTGAGATCATCCGTCGCCGATGTGTTTGTCGACATTCCACGGCTAGGTTAAGCTTCCCTCACCCGCTCCGGGGTCATGAGAACCGCAGGTGGCTTGCCCCGTTATCGCTTCGACGGAGAGGCTGGCCGAGTGGGGTCGTGGCCTTAGGTACGAAGACGGCCTGAAGCAGAAACAGAATGGCTCGAAAGGGCAGTCGGAAGACTAGAACTGGTTGCATAACATGCAAGTGAGTGTGCCTGAGAGTGTCCATTCCATCGATCGGTACCTTACACAGTGAGAGCTGGAAACTTTCCTCAGAAGATACCTTGCATCTAATCTTTCATGACCAAGTAGGATACGCAAAGTGAAGTGCGACGAGACCAAGCCGACCTGCAATCGCTGCGCAGCCACCGGCCGCCAGTGTGATGGCTACAGTCCGGCGCCCTCGCCAACAAACAAATCCCAACTCCGCCGCTACCGACCGCACCATGTCTTTCCAGGGGCCGACGGCGTCGGAGAGGGCAGAGCCTTGCAGTTTTTCTGCGAGGTAGCCGGCCCTTACATGTCGGGCGCCGTGGACCCTCATTTTTGGCCTAAACTGGTGATGCAATTTACCAGCTTCGAGCCTGCCGCACGCCACTCTGTCATTGCCATCAGTACCCTCTGTGAACGTCTACAATTCCAGGAGGATATGGACGAAGAGATTCTCTTGAAAGACGATCTTTACGCCTTGCAACATTACAACACAGCTATCCATGACCTCAGGACTATGACCTCTCCTGAGCGAAGTCCCGTCATACTGCTAGTTTGTCTGCTATTCATCACGGTTGAGTTCCTACAAGTCAACCGTGATGAGACGGTAAAGCACTTAAAGCACGGTTTTCAACTTCTTAAAAGCACAATCAGAGACTATGCCTGGACTAAAGAACACTTACTGCCCCTCTTTCGAAGATTGAGCATCTATGCGTTCCTGCACGCAACCGATCCTAGAGACTTTCCCGATCTGGAAGGTCTCGAGCACCAGATTCCCAGCAGCTTTTCAACATTTTACGACGCCCAAAGGATGGTTGACGACATCTTCAGCCGCACCATGCGCTTGGTGCGGAATGGCGACCCTTATAGGATATACCCAGAAGAACACCAATTCGTGCCGCCTGATCTACTCGTTGAGCAAGCCAGCCTTGCATCATCACTAGATCAGTGGAAGATACTATTTGATGCATTTGAAGCCCGGCCTGCATCACCACCGAGCGAGTCTGTCCCCGGGCAGGAGACTCTAACAACGGCATTACGATACGTCATTGTGTCGAGATACGAATGTTGCAGAATATGGCTGAACACGGCGTTTGGCGACAAAGAGTACGACTACGACAGTCACTTGGCTGTATTCAAAGCAATGTCCACAGAAGCAGGGATAGTAGATCCGGAGGTGCTTGCGACCTTTGAAGGGTCTCCTTATTTCACATTCGACACCGGCTACCTTCCTTCAATCTCACTAATTGCAACGAGATGTGCGCATTTGGAGGCGACATTAAAAAGTCTGAGACTGAAGCCGCTCCCAGGGCTCCCAAGAGAGAATATGTGTCTGCTTGCCCAGGCCGGAGATTGTCTGTGCGAAGCCCTACCAGCATCTTCACGGAACCTTAGTCGACTGGAGATTGCAGAGTCTACTACTTGACTCTACTACTTGACTCCACTTGGAGAGTTATACACATACACATGAAAATGACCGTCTAATAAAGCATCACGCTCTTCGCTATGTGCTTTTCCCCGGTTACTGCACTGGTGGGTGTCCATCCAGGACCCACGACTTGATTAGTGAGGCAGACTCGGCTGGCAGGTCGAATGGGGCTAAGTGACCAGAGTTGAATATCTCCGCATAGGTAAGCTCTTTGTAAGACTTCCACCTGCCAGCCACCTTAGCGTCATGGTACCAAGGAGTCATCTCTCGGAAGCGGAAGAAGGGGTGGCCATGCCATGCCAGTCCCTCGTTGACGAGCCGCCGCATCCCAGCTGCGTTGCAGTATAAATCTTTGTCGCCCACGTAGATGAGAACTCGAATCCCCTGTAGGAGTTGTCAGTGAGATTCGATACAGGCCTTGTTCTGTCCCCGGGCTTTACCTCATTGAGAAGCCCGTTGACGTACTCATCGCTGGACTTCCACAAGTCACCCACGCTCTCCCACTGCTTGAGGATTTCGTACGAGATCCCCTCAAACGAAGCGTCTTCGTCAACTCCGAGGGCAGCCTTTACCTTGGTCTGGTTCAAAAAGGCGTCGATATGGCCCAGCTCAGCGTAGCATTCTTCTGAAGGACCATCACCACAACTACGTCTCCAGTCATAAGGGTTGCGCTTCATTTTCTCGACAACGTACCCGCTCATGGAGGAACATTTCTCGTGTGTCGCGATACAAGCTCGGGATGTCCAACCTTCATCATCGCCCGTGCCTTCGCAAACCCCTAGATTCTGCTCGCACCATAGGCTGAGTGGAGCCCATTCGATGCACTGTGAGGTGCTTAACAGACTATCAGGCCCGGAGCAAAGCGCTTCGAAAGTCCCTGGATTCTGAATACGAAGTCGTATTAGTCCGTTACCAATGAGAATTCCCTTCAAGTTGATGAGCGGGACCCGCGAAGGTAGCTGAACCGGTGATTGGTCTCCTGCCCAATGATTTTCGTTATTCTGAACCGAGAACTCTGGAGCAGCAGAATGGAGGTCGACATTGCGGGAGTTTATGTCGTGGGAGATTGCCTGATTGTTAAGTATTGCGGAAGCCAGAGCCGGCACCCATGATCCACCATAAGACTCGCCAGCAATATAGAAATCAAGGCCTGAGTATTGGGGGAAGGCGATCAGGAGTTGACGAAGGAATCGATCCATCATTTGAGATGCTTCTTGCAGACCATTGGGTATTTTGGATCCCGTCGAATAGCCGACACTTACTGGCTGACTGGAGTTGGAACATGCAAGTATCAGTTAAGCATCTTTGAAAGTGATAGACATGAACCCCAAGATCAAGGTTGTACCAAAGAGACATTACTCAACTCACTCGACAAAGATCAAGGTCGCATTCGTGTTCCAACCATGCGGGTTATCAATAGTATACCCGCCCCCAGGCGCGATACGACAGGGTCCTAACTCCATCAGGTTTCCATATCCAGTAGAAGACGCTCCTGGGCCACTGGCAATATTCAAAGACAAAGTTAGCAGAGAGATTAGTCTTGGCTCCGAACGACGAGAAGCACTTACCCAGACATCCATAATATTACGGGGTCATTAGAAGGACGATGCTTGCTTTCAAAAAGCCAGAAGAACAGATGACTCTCATCATCTCCATCAGTTGTATCGACAAAGCCGGCAACGCCGGGAGTTGAGCTGTTGCATACACTGGCCGTGTCGGACCCGAGCCTGAGGGAGAATCCCGGGATGTCGGTCGTGGCGGGGAAATGTTTCGCGGGAGAGCCGGGCGACCGAGAGTGGGTTGGTGAAGCAAGGCTTTGGTTGACGAATGCCAGTAGCAATGACGGATATTTGAGGAATGACACTGAGAATCTAAATCGGTGAGACATTTTAACAGTTTTGATGTTTGAGACACCAAGATGCCATGAAGAAGTTGGATGGATCGTCAACTTTCGACTCGTTTCTGGTACAGCGCTTTTGATGACCCGAATAGGAATAGTGCGGGGTTCTTGATCGAGTTGTCGGATCCCTCGCGATAAACACCTACTATCTGCGAACACAGACCATAGCAGAGATGCTTCGAAAGCGCTTCTGAAGGCTAAATATCTCCAGTGCTCTAGCTATTGTATTGAATTGTGCGCAAGTATGTAGAAGAGTTCACCGAGAAGTCACGTATGTAAACTTAAGGGCCTCTTCTTTGAGCAATGAGATCCGCTGGTCAACCAACTTCATCAGCTTCAAGGATCACTACAACATTCAATGTCAAGGAAAGAGAAGAGAAAAGTAGTGTTGGATCCTACAGAGATGTTTCGTAACGGTCGTGTTCATCATCATTTACAAATTTCAAGCAGTGGCGCCAGCAGCCTCGCCATCAACAATCAAGCTTGAGGCCTCCTCGGCATCACTCGGCTTGACGAGCTTGATAGAAACCTCGGGGTCCCGAGCATAGACACGCAGGCCCAAGACACAGACCGCGTTCCATGGAGATCCAGTCAGCTCCTCTTCGTCATCCAAGACAGTGGATTCAGCGTCAGAGTCTGAGTCAGAAGCCTCTTCCTCCTCAGCAGGCGCTTCGTCAACAGGCGCCTCATCGGCGACGTCTTCGGCCTTAGATTCAGTGATGGCAGTCTCCTCGGCTGGCTTTGACTCCTCAGACTTCTTCTCGCTTTCATCGCTTTCGGGTTTCTTCTCTTCAGTCTTGCCCTCCTTAGGCTCCTTTTCATCATCCTTCTTTGGTTCCGGAGTCGGGCCATCGCCAGGCTTTGACGTATTTACGTTTGCTGGCTTCTCTGTCTCAGTAGCTGACTCCTTGACCGCGATTTTGATTGCAATCGAATCGCCCTCCCTCTTCTGATCCTTGTCTTCTGCCTTCTTCCCTTCCTTCCCAACACCATCCTTGCTATCCTTCTTTTCCTCGGTCTTCTTGCCCTCATTCGCAAGGTCAGATACAACCTTGGCGGAATCCTCAAGCGCCTTGGCCGCAATTCCAAGCGCTTTCTTCTGTTTTCTTCTCTTCTTTGCTTTCTTGCTCTCCTTCTTCTGCTTGGCTTCAAGCTTCTTCTTCTCTACGAGCTCATCCTCGTTCCGAACGCCACCTTTGGCGTGGGCGATGTCGTACTGCAAGCCTACCTGGCGCAATTTCTGCGGGTTGCGTTCGGCGTACTCCTTGACTACTTCCTCAACAGGCTTGGTTGTGCTAACATCGCCTTCGCTGTTGCGAACGGCTGTAATCTTTGGCAAAACCTCGTAGATGCCTGGCTCCAAGTCGACCTCGCAGCTCACCGAGCGGTTCTCCCATTTGTGTACAGGGCGGACGCGGCAAATCTGCTCTGGTTCAGGGGCGTCCGTCTTTTTCTTCTCTCCATTCCTGGACTCGTCGCTGTTCGCGGAGGTGGTGGAAGTAGCTTGCTGGAGGACGAAGTGCAGTTCGAACCAGTACTGTCCTTCGAATCCATGGAAGTAGCGGTCGTCAAGCTGCGTCAGAACAATAACAACCATGCCCGACTTCTTGACCTCTACGACGAACTTGGTCTGAAGGAAACCCGTCACCCAAGATACGTTGGCGGAGGTCCACTGTTGCACGACTGTCCACTTGTCGTCGAACAGGCGCGTGCGATGGATGTACATAAAGGTCGAGAGCATATCCTGGTAAGACATCCAGAAGACGCCATCATCGCCAAAGGTATGGTTCATGCGCTTAAGCCAGTATGGTGTCCATTCTTTGGAGCCGTCGGACCATGGCCCGTTCCATTCGCCAACACCGCCATCGGATCGTTCGCCCCAAGGGTTCCTATGGGTGTGAGCGTCAGAGCAGAGCAAGTATTGGGACTCTGGGAACAAATCTTACCGGATCTGAACGAGTCGAACCTTCTTACCATCCTCGTCAACCTCCTCTCGTGACTGGAGGATAGAGTATGCGTGTCCCAACGCCAGGCCGCTTTTCTGCCAGTCCCATCCGGTACCCATAGCGGCAAGGGCGAAGACAAACTCGCCGTCAGAGTTAACAAGCTCTTTCCACAACTTGTCCTTCCTCAACACGCGGTTAGTTGCGATGGTTGAAGTTACGCCACCTGTCATATCCTCAACCCCCTCGCCGGGCCAGCCACCCGAGATAGCTTCATAATCGCCGTGAACCTTGGCGTAAGCCTTCTCAAGAAGCGGCAACCACGTCTCATTCTGATCATCGCAGCGGGCAAAGTAGAGAGCATCGGAGCCTGTCTGGTGCCTCTTCCTATGTTGGCGAGCCTTCTTGCCACTAGCATCGTAGACGTCTCCGTAGTAGTCAAAGTCTGACTCGTTCAGGTAGAGGTTATCGTCAATGACTGTCGAGATCCACTCGCCATCGCGCTGAAAGACAAATCCGTAGACACCACACTCTTCGTCACGAGCAACACAGACTTTCTCCATGAGGTCTTTGCGGTGCGCAATGGTGGCAACCGCGGCGAGCCACCAACAGTCACCATTGGAGCCTTGCTTGATGTCAGAAGAAGAGTAGCCGTTCATTGTGAATTGCGGCGAATCGAAGATCCAGTCAACGCGGTGGATTGAACCAGGGTTGTAATACTCGCTTCCGCGGACGCCATGACGCTTCGAGACCTTGCCAGATCCCGATTTGGCTCCCTTACCGGCAGCTGCATTGGCAAAGGGATTCCAAATGTCACTGTCGCCCCCAAGAAAACGGCTCACCGCAGTGGGGTCGATGGGGATAGTAGAGCTGGGTCCCAAGATCTGCGCGGCGTTGAGTGTGTCGAGGCTATTCTTCACATCCCAGCTACTCACATATGGTACATCTCCCGCGGCACCACTTCCGCCGGTACCCTGGTCCCCGTCGCGGATAAGGCCGTTAAGACAGTTCTTCTTAGGGTCGCGTTCGATGTCGAAGTCGGGGTCGGTGAACTTCTCATTCGTTCTCTCACACTCTCGGACGATTCGCTTGACCTTCTCTCGGCACTCGCGAGCGGCCGCGTCATATGACTCCTGCGCGTTGCGGGTGGAAGAGGCTCCCTTCTCCTGGAAAGCAGGGAGGAGAGAGGTGTAGAGAGCGCGCGGGAAGATAGATGTCACCTTCCCCGGGTATTTCGAGTGGAATTTGTCCCAGAAGTCAGATAAGGTTTCTTGTGGACTCTTCTTCGAGCGCTTCGTTGCTGAAGGAAGGGGAGGCACTGGTGGTGGCGGATCGCCGTACGTTGCCATGTTGAGCAGCGTCGCCAACTCGGATGTCAGAGCAGGTTAAAAGACTAAACTGATGTCTTGGTTGTGTCGACTCTCCTTGAGACAGGAAGTGAGTGACTAGGAGGTTCAATAGGATTGAGCTCATATCGGCCATTCTGCTAGACTTAAGTAGTCACCACAGTCTGACGAAGACATCGCTCGCCTCAAAACTTGTACGACAAGGCCTTGGTAAGGCTACGAGCTACCTACTTAACGCAGCATTTAGTGCTGACGCACCAGCGATAGTTCCCGTGTACAATCGTACACCAAAGGTGTTTGGGTGTGAGGCTGCCTAGAATCGCGTTACTTGGATGTGACAATTTTTAAATGCGAAACGAAACCGAACCAATTGTATGAGATTATTGGTATGAAGGCGCCCTGGGTATCGGAAAGGTCGGCTTGCTTGGCCGCATTCTGCAGAATATCGAAACGAACTTGCTCTGATATGCAGCGAATCGCCAGGGTTGGATCTGGCAATTCGTACTACAAGCACCAACAGCACGCAGATTGGGGGCCATTCTGCCGCCGGGCTTCAGGGCCTAGTATCAGGTAGGATCATGGCGCCAATGACTTTAGCGCCGCGAGGTTGGGCTGATGACAGCGAAACATACGGCTGATCCCCAGGGTCTCCTTCTGGGCCATGCACGCCAGATAACATAAGGGAAGGCTTGCCGTCTCATTCTCGTGAAGTAACTGTCAAAAAGATAACCCCGCGCGATGAACTGGCGACTCTCACGTAAGACTTGGGGGAACGCCATGCATGCATGGGATGCAGGTCGCTGTTAGTGCGTGTCGCTTCCACAAGCCTTTACGACCAACTCATTTTGGACAATGGGGTAACCCAAACAGGGATTTTGTGCAGATGGGAAGGTGAAGCTGAATTTTGGACTGCAGTCACAGGAATCGCAGGCTCACTGCTGATCATTCTGAACGGATGTCATGGCTTGGCCAGACCTGGAGAATCATTCTAGGTGATTGAGGTATCACGTTGAACGATTGGTCACATATATGCACACAACCTAGGAGAGGAAAATGAGTACGTGGAACAGACCCATCATCGACCCCCAGATCAACTTGGACTTGAGGCCGATGATTGATGGATTGGTTGCAATTCATGGCAGGGGTTTCGTTCTGCATTCATGTCCACGTTGACGAAGAGCAACTCCCATGCCCTTTTTTCAAGGAACTTATTCTCGAATTTATTCTACGAAGTTGTAATCAAGCGCCCCCTGATTTTCGCAATGTCAGTATCTAAACATATCTCGGCTACCTGCTTCTGGCGAGGAGTAACTACGCGCAGGCATGCTGGCCAATTGCACGAATGGCACTATGTCTGTCGGGCATGCCTTTGCCATTGGCAGCGAAGCTCATTGTATATCATACCTCAGAACTCGCACAAGCTTCAATTTTCGTCCGACACTGATTGTATTCATCATCAGGTTCTGAAAGGCCAGGCAGGTATTCGATAGGTGTCTCTCATTAGAAGTTCAATATGGTGGCATCTGTCAAGTTCAATTGGAAGCTTCATGTTGATATATGCTCATGTCCTTACTACGAGGTCTGTGGCCGACTCATTTACTTTGCCATGCCGCTCAATTAGGTAAAGTAGACATGGTCAGGCTCAATGCTAACTTAGCACGAGCTACTTGTGGTACAAAGCAAGTACCTTCTGCCAGAAGGTTATGGCCTCCGGCTGAGCAGTCGCTGCTCCTCCAGCTTCTCTGTGATCCGGCACATCGACAACCTCGCCATCCAGACCCTTGTTATTGGCTGCGTTCTGCTGCTTGCCCAGATAGTAGTTCGGCATAAAGAAAGAAGCGATAAGAGGGATACATGACAGGCAGATGGCGGCGATTGTGATGTGCCCGTTTACGACAGCGTAGGCGCGGATAGACCCTTGGCGAATGGGATCATCAAACTGGTACTTCTTCAACGTCTTGATATTGCCGTAAATCTTGGCAATAACACTATTGGAAACGCCGGGAAGTTCCTCACGCATCTGGTCAACCATCTGCTCCGTCCAGATGCTCGTTGCAACGGCGCTTCCGATGCTGGATCCCAAGGTAGACCACAAGGTGATGATGGAAATGATTGAGGCAACGTCGTCGTGCGGAACAGACGCCTGTACACCAACGCGCGCACCAACTACGTTGAGGGAAGAAAGACAGAAGATGAGCTGCGCTGCCACAAGCCGAGCAGTATCTTCGGTCATATTGCCGGTCGGCTGGACCAGAAGGCCGTAACCGAGAATCTTGGCGGCCGCACCGAAGACCATCAGGCTCTTGTAACGATGAGTGCTGCGGTGAATGAGACCAACCACAGGGCCGACCAGGCAAAGACCCATGGTAGTTATGCCTAAGAAGATAGTCCACTGGTAGGTAGTCCACTCCTTGATAATGAGGATGTATGATGAGAAGTAGGTGTTGCGAACAGAGGAGGCCATTTGATTGAAAGTGTGGATGATGACACCTGCGATGAAGGCCCGGTTCTGCAGAATGCTTTTCGTCATGAGGGGCTTCGGAGCGAGGAAGATTTCGAACAGGACGAAGATTGTGAGAATGAAGAACCCCATGACGATCATAGCGATCATGCTTGCGTTGGTCCATCCGCCATCGGCGCTCTTAGCCAGTGTGATAGGCAAGAGGATCAGAGAGAAGGCAAAGCCAAGGAGGATGAGGCCAATAATGTCAATATCAATCATACCCCGGTACGCAAGCTTGGCCCAGTACACCAAGTTCTTGGAGGGGGCCTCAGAGACACCGGTGCGAACGTTCTTAGAATCGGCAATGGTAACCATACCAGCCTTCTCTCCGCGACGCTGCATGGCGTAGAGGGTAAAAATAGCCGGGATGAGGAGAACAGGAACGAGTATGGCAAACATGCCTAAGCCCCATCGCCAGTTCTCGTAGAAGCCCTCGGCAATAAAACCGTTGACAGGGACAGTGACGATAAAAGGCAGGGACAGGCAAGCACCGAAGAAGCCGCGCCATTCCAGAGGAGTCAAATCGGCGACAATAATGTCGCTCAGAAGATCGAGGCCTGACTTGCCGACAGAAGTGAAGCAGATACCGACAGTATAGGCGGGGAAGGCGGTGGCACTGGCTGCAACGGCAAAACCTACGGCGTAGAAGGCGAGAATGACAACGTACGTCGTAGGTCGCGAGGTGATGTCGGCAAGTTTTCCGATGAAAGGCTTGCTGATGGCGCGGATAATCTGACTGGCAGTATTGACGGTACCAAGTTGGCTGTGGACCTTGAACGTTGAAGCAGCCAGCGTGCCAAAGATGGTTGTGGTGATACCCATATCGAGGGCATAGGCAAACATAGTCAGGCCGATGGATACGCCGAGGAGCCAGAGTAGAATCTTGCCCTTCTGGCCAGAATGGTAGAGTACTTTGTTGAAGGCTTCAACTCTGCTGACACCGACTTCCTTTGACCTCTCATTCTCGGCGGATTGGTCGGGCTTCTCATCCGGCTCGAAGAAGTCCTGAGGTGCATCGTTCTGGGCGGGAGCCTTTTCGGGAGCCACTGGCTGGTTGTCGGCCGTGGGTGTCGACATATTTGGCGACTTCTCAAGCTGCCCGATGTTCCGAGAGGCTACAAGGTAAAGTCGATGTTGCACAGACAAAGAGAGAGAGCGAGATGAAGAAGAGTAGAAGAAGTTTATTAAAGCCTCATGAAGAGATGGACAGCAAAAACTCTACGGTCTTGGCAGCTGTCCAGTGCCACCTCTCAATCCTTCCGGTGGGATCTAGCGAAGTGCTAGTAAATGATCACCCCACACTACGAACACAGGCAACCAGAATTGACCAAGGATATGGTTCTGCGGCGTGACATGAAGAACAGTCTCCGAGTACAAGTCTCCTTCGGTACGTTCCGACATCGGTTCGCCCAGTGTCCCGGACACGCGGGTGAGACAGCTGAGCTCAATTTTGTGTGGTTGGCTCTTTGTGTTTATCAGATCCTTTCTGTATCCACTATGGGGGAAACCTGCCATCTAATCAGATGGTCCATATCTCTCTATTGGGGAGGGATCACCACCTTGGCGGGACTAGACTCCGATTAAAGCCAGGATAGATTCCTTCATGGGTAATGTATACAGTGCCTTTAGACTGTACGCAGAGACGCGCCACTGAGAACCCGCATTTCCATGACTTTGTCATTTGTCTGGCTCGGATCCTAGACCAATATCTCAAGAATGAGGAACCATCTCCGAGTTATGTAAGCGGGACGGGTCGTCAAAGTAAAATGGCAAAGATTTTCTTCGAGACATCAGCCCACGGATCATGTAGCAACCTGGATAGTGCTTACTTTTAGCCTGAATTAAGCTTACTCAAGTGGCTATTACTACTCGTTCGAGTCAAAAGATGGGTACAGGATCCCTGTTCCTGGCAATAATCCCGCAGATTCGGCCTCGGACTTTGTCCGGAAGGGCTTGGCTACTGGCTCATCACCAACTCGTCGGTTTATATGGTCACGTCCATTGGACGATCTATTGCGAGAACAGTTCCCCATAGTTTCCTCTTGCTTAAGTCTTTCGGTCTTCAAAAAATGGATCCAGGTACCCTAATTAACAACTGAGGCCACTACATCAAAGGCGCGAATGCTCGTTCAACAAAATTGAGCGAGTCTCGGGAGGGAGAAGACGACTGAGTATCAAATAGAGAATAGTCATGTCTAGTTATGTTGGAATCAAGTATCTTCAAAGACTTCTTACTGCTCTGAGCCTATTTTGTCTCGCCAGTCGCGTGAGTTCTATCGTAGGGGCGTAAAGATCGAAGATATGAGGGAGTCCAGGGTAAACATGCAATTCCATCTGCACATTAGCGGATGCAAGCTTATTTGCAAATGCTACCGCCTCAGCGCAGAACAGATCAACTCCACCAACGTCGATGTATGTATAAGGGAGATTTGCAACGTCAGTTGCTCTCCCTGGTGCCGCATGCGGAGGTATGCCCGATCCTCCAGCCTTGCCCTCGAGGTACGCATTCCAACCAATCTGATTTGACTTATCCGTCCAGGTAAGGAATTTGGATAGAGGACTGTTTGTTTCAACCCTAGTTCTGTCGTCTAGCATGGGATATATGAGGATCTGTTTGGCCAATGGCGGCGACAAGCCCCGGTCCCTCGCCAACATCGATGCGCCTACCGCTATGCCGCCGCCAGCGCTCAACGCGTAAAAGCCTATGCGAGACGCGTCGATGTTCAAGTCGTTTGCATGCTCGCTCAGCCATTTCAACGCGGCGTAACAATCCTCGGCAGGCGTCGGAAACGGGAATTCTGGCGCGAGGCGGTATTCAATAGCGAACATCTGGACCCCGGATTCGAGAGCGGATTTCGCGGCGAGTGGTCGGCTGTGTGGGTCAATATTTCCCCCCACAATCCCTCCTCCATGAACGTAGATGAAAGCCGGCTGCTTGCTCGTAGTTTCGTTTCCGCTCGGGGTGAACTGGTGGAGCGTAATCGTTTCGCCGTCGAACGACTTAACAGCGTGCTTAATTTCTGTTATACCTTCCGGCAAAGCATCCTTGAGGATAGCCGAGAGGCCTGCGTTCACGCTGGCTCGGAGCTCCAACGCATTGGTAGGTCCCTTTGGCGGTCGGATGGCAATCAGTGGACCGGCAACCGCCCAGAACTCTGTGTCGAATTTGAGGCCCGTCATTCTCTGCGTCTGCTTTGCGTAGTAGAGAATGGACAGAATCCCGGCCACCATCCCCAAGAGCGAGAAACCTGGGCCCATGGTGACTTTTTATGCAAAGATCTTCTTCCAAGCTCCTGGTTTGTCAAGGGGGAAAAGGGATGTTTCGCCCCGTTCTATTTTTCCTGCCGGGGGTACGCGAAAGGCATTATATCCCCATAAATCATGGGTTCAAGGTGGGCATCTTTAACGTTGGCGCCACTCGGCACTATGAACCTATTAGTCCAGAAACTTTAGATGACTAGAAGCTCCGCGTTTCAAAGCGTTGAATGTTGGAAGCTTCCAATTCGTCCGAGCGGCATGAATCAGCCCAAGGCCAGCAATCCACCGGGGCTCGGGTGAAATCCTCTGAGCGCATGACTGATGAGGATTGCCACGTAGGCAATGCTGGTATGGTTCCCTTTCGTTTTTCCTAGGAGAGGTTCTGCCTTTGGAATTGACTTTCGGCTTGCATTGCACGGCACATGACGTAGCCCGCATGTCGACTTTTGTTCAGCTGTCAAATGTTGGGTTTTTCTCAACTCCCCTCGCCCGTCTAGTGTTGCCACGACTGATTTGATGACTGATGGTTGCGATGATACACCGATAAACACATTGCCATTCTGCAGTTAAGACTGAGTATTAGTAGTTTCGTCTGAAGTCGGAAACTTTCCCTACAATCTGCCGAACGACGAATTTCATGCAGACCCCAGAAGCAAGAACACCCTAAACCGAACCCGAAGTTGTCTAAATTGATTCGAAGAGGTTGTGAGTCTCAGTCAAATACATCAGTCGCATATCGCTCGTTGCGAATTTTGCTGAACCACTCCTCCAGCTCCTCATCATCCATCAGCTTTCCATCGTCCAGCTCGCTCTTCTCCCTGGCCGCCCTAAGCAAAACATCCTTCACTCCCTCAGCCACTCTGTTAGAACCACACACATAAACTCTAGCACCTTGGTCCCACAGCCCGTACAACATCTCGCGCTCCTGCCAGATACGATCTTGCACGTACTTGGATCCATTGGAGGCTTCGGGCTTGCGACTGTAGGCCCTGAACATCTTCACAGCACCGACGCCCTCCCACTTATCGAATTCTTCGCGGTAGAGATCATCAGCTGCTGGGTCACGGCAACCGAAGAACAGGATGGCCGGTGCAAGAGAGCGACCGTTGCTGAGTAGAGTGGCGCGTTCTTGAACGAAGGCGCGGAATGGTGCCAGGCCGGTTCCGGCTGCCACGCACAGGAGAGGCGTCTTGTCCATGTCGATTGGAAGCTTGAAGCCACCCTGCGAAGCACGGACGGCCACTTGTAGGCGGTCGCCGGCGGTTAACGTAGCAAGGTAAGAGGAAGTGACACCGACATGCCGGCCTTGTCCTGATAAGGCGGGTTCATCGAGAACACCATAGGTGATGGTGGCGATACCAGGATCCACAAGAGGTGACGAAGAAATCGAGCTGTTCAATATTTTCAGTGCAATGCTCATAGGCGGGAGTCTAACTCGGTCTTACTATTGACGGACTCTCATGGGAGGGAGCATGAGCAAAAAGTGGTTGAAAGGAATTATCAGTGATGAGAACTGCTCGGCAATATCGAGAACGGAGAGCCTCTTTGCCTTGATCTCGGTTTCATAGCCGTCATTGGCCAGGTACTGAAGCTTACGGCTCACTTCCTCTTCCTTTGCAAGCTGCGAGAGAGTCGAGATGTTCTGTGCTCAGCGTGTTAGCCTTTTCTTCCAGTGTTAATCAGGCGTCGCTCTCGGAACTCACCCTCTTTGACGCAGTCTGGCATAGCTCAACGTACGAGCTCAGAACATCGGAAACGGGGCTGCTGACATTGGTCGGCAAGGTTGTGGGCCCTGAAGCCTGAATGGTAACATGCGAGTCCCAAGTAAGATGAAAGCGGCGCATCACTCTCGCGACCGTGTCCTTTGGGTTGTGGGGGAGCACAGCGATGTAGTCGCCAGCGGAGTATCGCATGTTTGTTGGAAGCTGCACCTCGATGTGTCTCTTGACCGGGCCTAGGTAGCCTTGGGCGAGGGTGCGGGCATCCAGGACGAGAGCGTCTCGGACGTCTTGGCGGAGAGCTGAGGTCCTCGGAGTGGAGAATGATACTGACAAGCCTGCCTCGACGATGCTGTTATCGCCTCCATCTGAATGTCCACCAAACTCTCTGACGAGCGCAGGCCACAAGGCCTCATCTTCCCAGGCCTCAAAGTCAGAGAACATGTCGCGGTCTTTGGCGTCCGTCGTGCTAAGTGGGATGATTCGACGGGCTCCACGTTTCTCGAGCGTGTTGTCAACGAGCTTGGGGACCCGATGGTATGTTTTTACCCAATCGGCATGACCTAGAGAAACAACACCGTATCAGTAGATGTTAACTTGAGAAGAGCTGGTCAGATCTTACCGCAGCCATAAACAGCATAGGACACGTTCTCGAGTTCCTTGCCCTTGAGATTGGCCATCCAATCGACAAAGAGTGCAGCATTATGAGGTGGCTCGCCCTCGTAGGAAGAGGTGACGATGATGACAGGGCGGTCTGTCGGAAGCGACTCTCGCGCGGTATCAAGTGAATCAACGGTCGCACTGAAGCCATGTGATGCCGCATCACTGGCAAGTCTCTGGGCCATAAACTCGCAGGTACCAGAATTTGAACCATAAAATATTGCCACATTCGCTTTTTTCACAGAGTTAGTTGTGGTTTCGGCTTCCTTCGTAGCTTCGTGGGATTTGGTCCTCGGCTGGGCTGGCAGTCCTCCGGTCAGGGAGCCGGCCATTCGAGCTTCCAGCATTGACGGCGTTAATCCTTCTCTCAGAATAGCCCGAATGTAAAAGTCTTTGGGCTTGATCGTGAGCGTCTGCGAGACTTTCAGATCGTAGTTGGGGTCGTGCATGACAAAGTTGAAGTTCTGCATCAGCAAAGCGAGGGCGAGTACCATCTCCTGCCAGGCGAACGCTCTTCCAATACATCCACGCATACCGGTACCGAACGGGCTCCAGCAGTTAGGGAACTCTTTCATCAGCCGGTCGAAGTTTTCGTCCAGCATTCTCTCTGGTCGAAACTCCTCTGCGTCGTCTCCAAATACCTTGGGGTCAAGATGTGACTTGGTCAAGAAACAGAGGATCTGCTCTCCGGGTTTGACGCGGTACTTGCCACCGATGATCTCGTCCTTCATGGCTTCTCTGCCGAAGCCAAAGATGGGGGCGCTGTGTCGCAGAACTTCTCTTATGACCTGTCGACAGATGTTAATGTAGGTAGATGACGCAGAGGGCCATTGCACAAGGAGATCATGATGCCCTGTGCAACTCTGTCTAGCCTCTGTACACAGGGGAAACTCGGTGTAAGCGGATAGGTATCAACTTACTGCACTCAGATACTTCAGCTTAGCGACATGTTCAACCTTCAGGGGCCCGTCGCCAGCCGTGCTGTCAACTTCCTCTTGGACTTTCCGGTATACCTCGGGTCTCTTCAGCAACCAGTACATGGTAAAGGTAAATGTGGCAGCAGTGGTCTCGTGGCCGGCGACAAGGAAGGTGATCAAGTTGTCGATGATACTCTCGTCCGTCATCTTCCGGCCCGTCACAGGATCAACAGTGTTGAGCATCGCGGTCAGGAGATCCTTTCGACCATTGGCATCTTCCGGGTCCTTCTTTCTAGCCTCGAGAACCTCCCTCGCGGTGGACCGGAGGAAGCTGATATTCGCCTTGTACTTGCGGTCTTGCTTCTTGTAGAAGACTTGGGGCAGTACGCGCAATGCCTTGTCGCCAGCTTCTTTCATGACAGCGTACATTGCTGTGATAAACGGGTGCGTGTCTTCGCGGTAGTAAGAGTTGAATCTGTAACCCATCGAGCAAAGGGCAACTGTGTCCATGGTGAGTCTTGTCATGTCCTCACCAATGTGGATGGGGGTGGAAGATCCATGGCGTGCCCATTTGAGAGCAAGTTGGGCGGCTAGGTCGTGCATATCGTCGAACATTCCTCTGATGGCAAGGGGACCAAAGGCAGACATTAAGACTCTGTGCGCAATGCCCCAATTCTCCTCCTCGATGCCTTTTGACTATTGTAGGGTAAGCTCGGTGTATCTAGAAGCATGCCAGGCCTACATGTAGGAACTTCATCAAACTTACTGTGAACAGGCCATCGTGTACTGCCTCGCGGAGCTCCTACAATGTGTTGTCAGTCATGTCTCAAGCGCTCACGCGACGTGACTTACGGTGAGGTCTCCTTCTATCGACTTCTTAAACCTCTTATCATCGCAGCACTCGTTGACTAACTCGTGGGTATTGACAAAAACTAGCTTCTGACCTAGAAGATCAAGTCTGTAGATAGGACCTTGAGTATAGTCAGCTTTGGAGATGTTATCCAGTCCAATACGCCTCCCGGTGACCACGTATCTACTTGCGGAGGGATGCCACACACCATATTTGTTTGCCATGTGAACAAAGGATCCTAGGGGATAGTCCTGGTCAATTTCGGTCACGTGCCCCAAGACGGGCTTCCGCGGCGGCTCCGGGATCTCGATAATACTGTTCGCCATGTCGACGGCTTTTCTAGAAGATCTACGAGAAAGGCTGAAGACTCGTCTTCTCTTTTCGAATGTCGGAAGGGTGTCTGACGACTGAATATTTGAGATGGACGACATGATGGCCTTGGTGACCCGATGACCTCTTGTAGCCTATATATCGGCGTCTCTAAAAGCACAGGTCTTCTGATTTTGTTAATATAAGGGCAATGTGAGGCGATAGCCAAGCATGATGGGACAATTTCGAGGGCCGCCGGAGTCGGTCAGACTGGTAATCCTTCCCTTCGGTGTCCTCGGGGCAAGGCTGGTTGTGGCTGAGGGAGTCGAATCCACAGAACACCACGCTGAACAGGCTTTGGACCAGACAAAAACACCACGTTCACCATGACAAGCGTGCGAGATTCGTCATGTCTTCACCCGCGGAGGGCGCGAGTGGGACTCTAAGTCCTTTTCGCCGTGCACTGGCCCCGGCCGGTCCTCCGCGGGCGTCCGATATCCACTTTTTCATCCGCGCTACCCCCTTTGCGTCGGTTACCAGACTTTCGATGTGGTACGATAGCAGTCTGGATACCTCGACCAGAAACACGACTATTCCCTGCTGTCAGAGCTCGTTCATTTAAGGTGGTGTTTGAGTCGATTTGGACTCAAATCTGGCTGCATGTCAGTACGCGTCGGTTAGCGGATGAGGACTCTAAGCTTCCTCGGCACCGGGCCGCTGCACTCGTAACATCAATGCGAAGGACGTTCATTTAAACGTCGATTTCGACTACCAGCGTTGTGAATCTCGAGAAGATTCATTTTCTTCTGGGAGACGAGAGTCAGATAGTTCAAGAACAATCGCGGAAAGCGATGTGTGTGAAGTTCCGTGCGAAACACTTTCCGAGAGTACGAGGCTCTCGGGTTTCATCAAATACTTCGGGCTTTTGGCATTTCGGGCAGATAGTCTATATGAAAGAAATGATGACTAAATTCCGCAACTTGGGGAAGCTCAAGGTGCACGTGATCGACCAAGCATGAATACATGAGTTGCCGGCGGTCAACTTTAGATCCCGCAGCCTTCGATGAGAAGACTGATCCATCTCCGACTGACTTTGGAAGGAACTATATTGCAATTTTTTATTATTTGAAGGCGATAAATGAACCGCTATTATTTGTTGTAAACATGGAGTCCAAAAGTCTGTAATAGTCGGGTGCCAGTGTGTAAGAAAATCCTCAACTTCATTCAATATCGTCGAAAAAGCAGAAGACTCCATAATCCAGCCAATTAGCCTATTAAGTACAACTTAGACAACAGCCTTAATGACTAGGACAACGGGTCAACCATGTCTTTAGGAGACATACATCGGGTGGAAGTAGGGCACGGCAGGGCATCGCAAACCAAGGTAAGGGATAAGTGTAAATGAGCCCTGTATGACTATCAAGGTTTTGCTCTACCAACACGATCGAGCTGCCACAAGCTGAGACTGGTAGCCTAGTTGATGCTGACTTCGATACCTCTATAGTCTTTTATGGACCAATACATGAAAGGTCCGCAAACTCAAATTCTACGTTTCCGATTATAAATATTCTTCTCAAATGTAGAGGCCATCCAAAAAGTCATCCTGCATGTGCTTCTTGTGAAAATCTCGTCACCTTTCTACCACGAAAAGAGTACTTCTACACCATTATGCAAGTAACATCTTCACTGGCGTACTTGCTGCTTACAGCTACGGCATCTTGCCAGCATAACGGCGGCAACCGAGAGGCCGATCGTCCGGACGTCACAGCGACTCAGCCTTTGTTGGATACGCCGTTCACTTCAGCTTCTCCATCCCACGTTGATCAAAACACCAAGGACATCGCCAACGCCTCTTCCCTAGTCATTCCGACACCAGTCCCGACAACTTTCATCACATCAACCGAGCTCGCGCCATCGGGAGCACTGCTTGCCCCGCCAAAAGGACGGCGCCCCGCGAATGGTCTCCCCTGGTACACCGAAAAAGACATCAAGAGCGTGAATACAGTCTGGTGCGTATCTAGAGGCCATTACGACGTCTCCTACAAGCCCTTCCACGTCTGGGCCCTCGCCGGACAAATCCACCCACGCCACAAACACAAATTCGTCTTCCCCACGCTCATGAAGGAGGAAGAAGCAGGAGGAGAGTACGAGATCATTCCCCGAACCTACCGCGTCACCGCCAATAACTACCTGCCAGACGTCGTGGACGTCAAAGATCTCCTCTGTATGTACATCAGGGCGAGAAACTTTGGCGAGATCCGGCCGGATATCGAGACTGGCACAAACGCCATATTGGCCAAGATTGACGATCACACGTTGTTGAAAATCATGATTTACCCCACAATCATCAAGGTCGAGCCACTCTTCAACATACACGGCGAGCCTCATCCGAACGATTGGAAGAACCAGCAAGATGATAGGGCCCTGAAACCGGTGAAGCAGAGGCCTATGCCCATACAGACGTTGCTCCCATGAGCATTGTAAGTAATTCAATCTCACAAGAGATTCCGAGAGACTAATTTGCCCTGTACAAGCTAGACAAGTTGGGAATCTGTGTGGCGGGGGACTTTTCCAACCAATCTTGGTAAAAACCACGAAGTTTGATTCTACGAAACCCTCAGTAAAAGGGAGGGAAGCTTTTGTGACCTCAGTTAGAGAAAAATAATCGTTTACAAGCTTTCTTCACCCAAGATAAACACATAATGGACACACAAGTTGGGTATGCGTCCGTTGCCCTTTTGTTGACTGTTGCTGCTCATTGCCAACCACTCTACCTATGGTTCTGCTCTACCTATGGTTCTGACCTAGGTCTGTGCTTTTTATCAATCTCAGCTTCAGTGACCATATAAATGTTTCACTTCCAACGCGAGCATAGTCAATACTGCACAGCGTTTTCATACGGTGTGGCCGCATCAACCGTGGTGCCTCGGATGAGGATCACGGAGCTAAATCGCGTCATATCTCCTCAACTTCTAACAGAGATAAGATTCTACCGAACCACCACAACGAGACACACATATCAGTGAGACCACCTGCCGTTAGCCAAAGAGCTCCAAAGGCTAGCCCTCCTACGATGGTCAATCGTCCATCAAGCATGACGCAGAGCCATAGGTCTTAGTTCATAGGCTGTTTGCGAAATTGTGGCTCTGGTAAACCGCGGGCGCAGAGGTATCGCGTGCAGAGATCTTCTTGACGATCAAGGTCAGGATGCACCAGAAGGGTTACACAAGTATGGCCATAAAATGTCAGGTGATTCCATTAGACCCGTAGGCCACCCAAGTCAAGTAGGTAATATCATGTACGCTGCCGTAATCCTCCACAACTACGAAAATCCCCGCTCTTTCAAAAAATCACATCAACATGCTCACTGCTCCAACTCGTTCTCGGCAAGAACCTCTCTTTCTGCCTTGGTTCCCTGCCAGTTCACCATCTTGACAAGAATGGGAATCAAAATGGCAATAATCATACCCGCACCCAAGAACCCAGCCGTAACACCAAAACCAGTGTGATACGCCGGCGAATCTTTGCTCGGCCAGATACGGCTTCCGTACACACTCGAGAAGTTACCAAACGCATTCACCATGGCCAACACAATAGCACGCTTCTCAGCCGGCAAGCTAATAACGCCACTCGTCCAGGACAAGACAAGCGGCAACGCAGACCAAATACCCGCCGCCAGGAAGCAAACCATGACGTACCGCACGATGGGCGTCTGCACCGCAGCACACACAACAGCACACGCGAAGCCCAAGCCCAGTGGCGCGGCGACGTGCCACCGCCTCTCCTGGTGCTTATCGGAACTCCACGCGACAATGTTGAGGCACACGGAGGCGACGGCGTAGATGGGCACCGTCATGTACTGCGCCTTGACGGTGTCGTAGCCCAGGGTAAGCGTGATGGTAGGGATAAAGTACGAAATCGTGCCCGCGCCGACGTCGAGCATGAAGAGCACGATGAACATGTACGTCCGCGGGTCCGACACGGCGGCGACAAAGGCCTTCCAGTGCGACAGGCGCGCCTTGTTCTGCCCGCCCGAGGCGATGCCGTCGGCGATGATACGGATGCTCGCGAGCTGGCGCTGGGCGGGGGTGAGCTGCTTCGCGGTGGCGGGGTAGTCGAGCAACACGAAGAAGGCAATGAGCGCGACGCCGACGGTCGCGACGCCCTCTACGATGAAGAGCCAGCGCCAGCCGGCGATGCCGTGCGCGTCATGAAGGTTGGCCGTGATGGCACCGGCAAGGAGACCACCGAAGGCGCCCGAGAGGACAGCGGCCGTGTAGAAGATGGCGAAGCGCTTGCCGAGCTCGGCGCGGGTGTACCAGCACGACAGGAGGAAGAGCACGCCCGGGAAGAAGCCGGCCTCGATGCAGCCCAGGACGAAGCGGAAGCCGAGGAGGGCGCTGTAGGTCTTTGAGATGGACATGAGGGCGCTGAGAGCGCCCCAGACAAGCATGATTCCGGGAAGGAAGATGGAGGGCCGGCTGCGGCTGAGGATCATGTTGGAGGGGACCTCGCAGATGAGGTAGCCGAAGAAGAAAATCGAGAGGACCCAGGCGTATCCATCGTCGGTGAGTGAGAGGTCCTTTTGCATTCCCGCGATCTTTGCGTTTCCCTGTGTTGCGTTGAGATGTCAGTGGGCCCGTGCTTTGGAGTAGCGTAGTTGAAATTTTTCATGCGATGCTTCGTTGCCCCTTATCGCCATGAGGGGAAGGGGGAGGAAGAGCTGAGTGAGGTGGACTTACGATGTTTGTGCGGTCGACGTAGTTGAGGATGTACATGATCCAAAGCATCGGCATCTAGACTGCGAGTCAGAATCATCTCAGTGAGGATCTCTGAGGCGGTAGACATACCAGGTAAAGGTCAATCTTCCTGACCAGCTGCTTCTCCTCTCGCGTGCCGGGCACATAGTTCCTCAGCGCCTCAGCGAGCTCAGCGTCCGCCTCGCTGACGACGGGCGCATTCTTGTCTTCCTTCATCTCGAGAGATTGCTTGCGACCGTTCTCGAAACTCATGATTACGATCCTCACGCTCGTGTGTTGTCGTCGTCGTCGATGTCGTTGTTGAGTGTCGTCGAGTGTCGTCCGGTTTCCTTTGTCTACCCTGACTCGGAGCGGCTGAAAGTGGCGAATGCTCTTTCACACACCGCAGTGTTGGTCTGTGTGTAGGGGCGACCTCTTGAGCGGAGCAGAACGCGACGCGATCTTACTCGACTGGAAGATGCGACTGGGGGGTTGTTAAGAGGAAGAATGGAAAGATCCGGGGATCTGGAGACGATGAGGCTGTGAAGGGATAAAACCTTCTTTCCATCCAAACACGGTAGCAATTAACAGCGACGTCTGATATATAATGTTCACATAACGCGACTCGTGTCTAGTGCGTCGTGTCTTTGCTTGGGGTACTCCGTCCTTGCTCTGCTCTCCTCCCCCACGGGGTAGACCACAAACTGGGGAACGAACTAAAGGGGAACTAAAGGGGGGCCCGTCTGGAAGTGTGGATGTCGAAGGAATCCGCTTGAGAAGGTGGGCAAAGTCTGGAGTTCTGGACCTCTCACGGACGAATCGTTCATCGTCTTGCTCGAAATCAGACAATGAACTATTGCTGTTGGACCAGACGAGGCGTGATTGGGCTGCATGCGTCGAGGACCGGATCTGGGTCCATACCTTTGGGAGGGGGGGGCAGCCAACAAGCGAGAGCCAGCGCGGTCTTGTGTCCGGGTCTAAGTGCCGTCCAGCAACTGCGGCGATCCCTCCGATTGGCACCGGGCTTCGCCCCGTTTGAGCTTTCCCCGCCTTCAACCATGTGAAGCTCGAGACGAACATCACGAACACTGCATGTGTGCATATCAAAAGTGGAAAAGCAAGGCTCAAGGTGGGCAATTCATCAAATTGTGATCTCATGAAGTCGACGATGTTGTCGTCAGCCGGGCATCTGCGAGTTCAACAAGTCTAGCATGTTGAGCGGATATTGCTCCGGCCCCATCCCAAAATTATTCATCATCTCTCCGCTGAACATCCATTGATTCCAGTCTTGGCCCATCTCCCCTTCATTCCAAACTTGCGGGATCTGTTGGCCTGGTTGACCAGGCTGGCCGGGCTGACCTCCGGCGATGTACTGCCTCTCCTGGGGACCACGTTCCTTGAACTTGTCCAGCATGTTGCTCAGGCCGCGTCCGATGTAGTGAGCCACATGACGGGCGCAGCGGTTAGTTTCTTCCAATAATTGGACGACCCGCTCAATGAGAGAGACCACATCTTCGTAGCGTATATCCAGCCTCGCAGGTTTCCACTGCGCGTGGACCTTCATCAAGAACATCGCGGCGTAGGCGATGGTCGTCAGCAGGTACAGAGGCACGCCAATGACTGCTCTCCGCATGTCGGTGTCTGTCAAAATCAGTTCCAATGCGGCAGACGCGCTTGCGATGGCGAGATTGATGAAGTCGCGGCGTTCATCGGACATGGCGTATTGGTCAGTCGGGTTTGATGGGTTCAGACCCCTGAGGCAGATGGAAAACAATAGGAGACGGGCAAAGTGATAGTGGAGGATGACGCCCTTGGCAGGGTACTTTGAGATGTGTTTGTCCGGCACTGATGAAAGATGTTAGCTGACAATTTGTTGGCACCAGGGGTTCACATTCTCTTACCTAACCGTGTTTCCCATTGAAGCTTCCATCGACCCAGATCGGCATCGTATCGCTTGAGTGCCTCAAACTCATCTCTGGCAACTTGCCTTGATGTGTCTGGTCCAAAGGTGTGGAAGACCCGACTCAAAATGATAAAGACACCAACCTGACTGTGCAGACGATGGTCCGCTTGTGTGATGCCTGGCAGTAGAAGGAATGCCTCGTGATGCGTGATCGTAGCGTCCTCGTTAATGACTGGAGGCCTGCCGTACGCAATACTGAAGTGATGGTCGCAGACGTAGAGCAAGTACCACAGCCGAGCCTTCTCGACGTGTTGCGGTCCCTTGTTGAGGGCTTTGGCGCAGAACTGATGAAGGTTCAGCTCCGTGGCGATTCGCACCGCAAGACCAGACACCTTCCAGCTGATGTCCGAAAGCCAAAATGCGCCGATGCAAAGTCCCCTCACATCGTCGAGACTGTGGTAGCGGTCGAACATGGTCTGGCTGGCTAGCTCCAAGAAGGTTGGGTAGCAAGTATCGAAAGCTCGGCCTTCATCTTGTTCGTGCAGAGCAGTGACAGCAAGGATGGCGGCCGTGAGCAGAGGTGAAGACATGCGCGTGGCCGTGAGGTTGTCATGGACTAGTGCAATGCCTCCCCACAAGTACGCATTGAGGGTCCCACGGAACGTGGAGAAAAGCTGCTCGGCCTCCTGGACGCTAAACTTGCCCTGGGCAATGAAGTCTGGCTCTTGGGCCCGGCTGGATGGGAGGTGGACCCGCGCCCCAGGGTCGCTCCGGATGTTCCGCAGTTTGGTCACTTCGAAGAGGCTGGCCATTGGCGCACTCACTATGGCCTGGTCTTCGCCGTTGTCTTGCGCCATGGGCTCTGGTGAGTTCTCCCGCGTCATGGCCGTGACGTCGGGAGGCCGAACGGGGGACGGCCCCGTACCGGGACTGCTCTGTGATCCGGCCATGTTCTGGGGACTCTGGGACATGCCGGCCCCTTCGTGGTGGAATGGCGGCACAGGCACGAGCTGTGGCATACTCAAAGCGCGCCTGACTTCCATCATGGAAGCCTGGAGGGTCTGGAGTTGCATCTCCATCTTGGTCTTCCATTCATTCTCACTGTCGAGCAAGGTTTGGAGACTCTTGTTGACGACGCACTGCAGACCTAGGCGAGAGCATCGAGCACACTGGTTCTGGCCCGGCTCAATGCCGCACTTGATCTTACGATTCTGGCATTCCTGGCCTGTCTCTCCTCATGTATCAGCGACTAGTCTTTCTCTTGAGGTCATACTTCCGCAAGGGAGTGGGAGTTCAGTCCGAAAGTTTGGGGAAAACTCACATGCTCGGATCTTTCTCGAAATTTTGGGCAAATGAGCTTGCTGCCCGGAGGCCACTCCCGAGACCGCCGCCGATGACGGGATCTTGTCCGGAGCGTCGATTCTCGCACGTTTCATGGTCCCAAGGGCTGGATAGAAGTCCGTGTGAATTTCGTGGGTCTTGGAAGGGAAGGTGGACGGAGTGGACAAGAGAGAAGGGCGGGACGATGGCCGAGGGGAGAAAAGAGGGAAAAGATTCGCCGGACGACGTGCATCTCCTTTGTTTATAAGCGGGCCGGTCTTCTTTCCGTGCGGGGTTGAGACGCCTCCACCTGCTCAAACTCAGTCGCGTCCACTTGATCAACTTCAGCGCCAGGCACTTGTTGTTGCGCTGGGAGACTGGGAGTGCCGGCTCGGGCTAGTCCTGTTTCTGTCACGTCCCATTTGCGGATGGGAGGAATGGAGAGGAATGGTGAGGGGAACAAGCCTCCAGGGTGTGGAGGATATCCCCATCAAGCTTGGACGGACACGGGGCCCGCAATCCACCTCGGGTGCCCTCTTCGGCTCTTCCCCCCAGACGAGTCCCAGACCATTTGCGAAGAGTCCTCCGGCCGCCGCGGCTGGATTTCCGAGTCTTGGCCGATCTGGGGAATGCAAGGTAGGGTATAAGATGACTGGGTCTACCGTTATTCCCAGTTTGAGCCAAGCTCTCGTTGATTTTCGGAAGAAAAGTCGCCGACGAGTCACGCCAGATCAAAGTAATCCTCAGTCGATAATCCACGATGGCAGCCACAGACGCTGAGGCCACCCGCGTCGGCTTCATTGGCCTGGGTGCCATGGGCTTTGGAATGGCTTGCAACCTGTTGAAGAAACCGTCATACCAAGTTCAAGGTCACGATGTTTACCCTCCCAGCGCAGAGAAATTCGTCGTTCAGGGTGGTTCGTCGGGGGAGTCTCCAAAAGAAGTGGCCAAAACCAGCGATATCCTAGTCTGCATGGCAGTCAACGCACAGCAAATCGATGACATACTTTTCAATGATCAGACGGGTGCTCTGCAAAGTGAGTTGTCCGCATGCAATCTCAGCCATGAGCTATCAATTGACCTAATCCCCGTAGCATTACCGGCAAATGCTACCGTTCTCCTCTGCTCAACAGTACCGCCAACGTATCATGAGGCACTGACGCCCCGGATTGCGGCGACGGGCCGGCAGGATGTTCTGGTCGTGGACAGCCCCGTATCGGGTGGCACGAAGCGTGCAGCCGACGGCACACTCAGTATCTTCGCTTCCGGAGCCCCTGAAGCGTTGCACCGTGCAGACCGTGTTCTGCGTGACATGTCGGAGAAGCTGTACATCATTCCGGGTGGGCCAGGAGCGGGTAGCAAGATCAAAATGGTCAACCAGCTACTGGTCGGAACGCACATTGCCGCTGCATCAGAAGCGATGGGATTGGCCGCCAAAGCTGGCCTGAACACCCGCGAAGTGTACAACATCATCACGAATGCTGCTGGTAATTCTTGGGCGTACGAGAATCGCGTGCCGCACATGTTGGACGGCGACTGGACCCCGCTATCTGCCTTGAATATCTTTGTCAAGGACATGGTGAGTTGCTTGCTCGAGTTTATTATGAATGTGCGGCTAATGACCTCGGAAAGGGCATCGTTGTCTCAACGGCCAGAACTCTGCAATTCCCGGTGCCACTTGCATCGGTAGCTGAGCAGCTGTACATCTCAGGAGCTGCACATGGGTACGGTGCAGAGGACGACTCTGGACTCGTCCGGGTGTTCCTCCCTGGATCCCCAAATGCCGTGAAAGAGCAAGCAGGCCAGCTCAATACGCAAGAAAAGTTGACCCCAAGCAGTACGCCGCTGGAAATCTCAAAGATTGGTATGGTAGGGTTGGGCGCGATGGGCCAGGGCATGGGTGGATCTCTTCTCCGAGCCGGTTTTGCAGTCCACGGCTACGACGTATACGAGCCGGCTATCGACAAGTTTGTGGCCAACGGGGGCAATGCTTCCAAGGCTAGCAGCCCCGCGGAGGCAGCAAAGGGCGCCGACATTCTAGTTTTGATGGTTCAAAATGCTGCGCAAGCCGACGATGTTCTTTTTGGCTCCGGAAAGGCAGCGGAAACGTTGCCTGATGGCGCCATCGTGATTCTCAGCTCGACGGTCCCACCCTCATTCGTCAGAGAACTCGAGGTCAAGCTCACAAACACCGGCAAGGGATTGAGCCTCGTGGATGCCCCTGTCAGCGGTGGTGTGGTCCGCGCCGCCAATGGTACCCTTACGGTAAGTTTTCCATTTCATCAACCTGACGTAAGACTCGTTGCTAACATCTGGTAGATCATCTGCTCTGGAGATGAGGCTGTTCTCTCCAAGGTTAACAGCCCGTTACTGGCGATGACGGGAACGTCAAGCAACCTCTGCCATGTTCAGGGAGGCGTCGGCGCTGCGTCCTCAGTGAAACTTATCAACCAGCTACTGGCCGGTGTTCATATTGCAGCCGCTGCCGAAGCTATGGCATTTGCCGCTCGCCTAGGCCTCGACACGAGACGGGCTTTCGAGATCCTTGGCAGTGCGGCCGCATGGAGTTGGATGTTCGAGAATAGAGTGCCTCAAATGCTTGATGCCGACTGGACACCACACTCCGCCTTGGCCATTTTCGTGAAGGATCTTGGCATCGTCCTCGATGAGGCAAAGCGACTCACCTACTTTGCTCCGATTTCGTCAGCAGCTCACAACATGTACCTCGCAGGTGCATCTCACGGGTGGACGAAGGAATCCGATGCTGGTGTCGTTCGGCTTTGGGAGTTGGCGGGCCTTTCCGTCTCTGGCAATGCCGGTCCCAAGGCTGAGGAGAACAGTGGCTCGAAAACTGAGACCAAGGAGATTGAAGCAGGCCAAGAGCAGGGTCTGCCGGCACAAGAAACGATTGACGCGCTCCCAGCCGAGTATTCAGGTGATGTGATCAGCTCCACTCGCAGGGTGGTCGACAATGGCGAAGTCCCGGTTCTCGTGGTCTTGGATGACGACCCAACAGGAACTCAAACCTGCCACAACATCGATGTCCTGACCGTGTGGGACTCTGCCACATTGGATGACGAGTTTAGCCTCAACCCGACTGGGTTCTTCATCTTGACCAACTCTCGCGCATTACCTTCCGCCGAAGCCAAACAACTTATCGTCGAGATTTGCAAGAATGTCAAGACGGCGGCTGAGAAGGCAGGCAAAGCATTCGAGATCGTTCTTCGAGGTGACTCGACACTTCGTGGACATCTTCCGGAGGAGCCCGAGGCTGCCGAGGAGGCCCTTGGCAAGTTCGATGCGTGGGTTGTAACGCCTTTCTTCTATCAAGGTGGCAGATACACTATCAATGACGTGCACTATGTCAAGGAAGGCGACGTGCTGGTACCCGCGAGCCAAACACCCTTTGCCCAAGACGCCACATTTGGGTACAAGAACTCGAACTTGCGTAAGTATGTCCTCGAGAAGTGCGGCCATCGCTTCGACGAATCTTCATTCTTGTCGGTCACTCTCGATGATATTCGCGTTGGGGGACCTGCGGGCGTCACCAAGAAGCTCCTTTCAGTAGCGCCTGGCTCTAACACAGTCGTCATCGTCAATGCTGCCGCCGAGTCTGACATGCACGTCTTCGTGGCAGGCTTGCTTGAGGCAGAGAAAGAGGGCAGGCGGTATCTCTACCGCACAGGTGCTGCCTTCGTTTCTTCTCGCCTGGGAATCACAGGGATCCCACCTTTGACCATGGCAGACCTTGGGGTGTCGGTCGAGGCCGGTACCAAGCAGCCAGGTGGACTGATCGTCGCTGGCTCTTACGTACCCAAGACGACGGCACAACTTAAGGTGCTCAGAGAGAGGAGAGGCGACAAGTTGGCGGTAATCGAAGTTGATGTTGAAGGGCTCATCGAATCTGCGGACGCCGCGGAGAAGGTCGTGAATGCCGCAGCAGCCGAGACCGCAACCAAGCTTGCAGCTGGCGAGGATGTTCTCGTCATGACATCTCGGAAACTGATCAAGGGAGGAGATGCGCTCAGCTCTCTTCAAATTGGTTCCAAGGTCGCCCGGGCCTTGGTACAGCTTGTTGAGCAGATTGACGTACGGCCGCGGTATCTGATTGCAAAGGGTGGCATCACATCATCTGATGCGGCCACGAAGGGTCTGAGGATGAGACGGGCTCGCATCATGGGCCAAGCTGCCCCGGGTGTCCCGTTGTGGAAGTGCGACGAGGAGACTAGCCGGCATCGTGGAGTGCCGTACGTCGTATTCCCTGGAAATGTTGGCAGTGACAGCACACTCGCCGAAGTTGTCGAGTCGTGGTCGATTGAGAATGTTGCTTAGAAACTTTGCATGGAAGCGGGATAAGCGTAGCATGTAACGGCTGTATACCAAGTAACGAGGCGTTAAAGGCTCTGTATAGTGGTCAAACAAATTTAATGTTGATGAACCTCATAATAAGGTACCTTACTCAAGATCAAAGATCTCCGTGATAGTAATGGTGATGGTGGTGAGTGCAGGCGAGTGTCGTCGGGAATTGTCGGAGATGATGATCCGACCGGCTGATGTAATCAGCCTGTCCTCACAATTACCCACTCTCAGGATCTGACCAGTTATTGGGCTCCGTTTCCCAGGCTCCCATGTCGTACATCTCCCTCTCTAACTGCTCAATGACCAACCATCTGCATCTCTTTGTGTCCCTCGTGGACCACGGTGATAATTCTCTAAGAACTTGAAATCCAATGTATGACAGTTATTCTCCATCTCAAAGAGAATCAAGTCATTGACCCTATTTCTTTCCCAGCGATCAGAGGAGGACCTCTCCACGTCATGACTCATCTGCCCCGGTTTTCTCACCTCGATCGACTAAGGCCAACAGCACCTCACCTCACACTCACTAGAAGTTGAACCGTAAAGATTACATATCTGTTCCATTGAGCCTCTCTGGAACGACTTCCTGATTCAATCGATGGACGGCAATGGCAACCACGGGATTTTATCTCCAGCCAAGGAGGCCGCAGAGTCTCTAGAGCTCATCAAGACCGCCGATGATCTCATTGCCCGTTGCAACAAGATATGCGACGAGCTCGAGCAGATGCGCCTGGCTGTTGAAATCCAAGCCGCCAAGGTCAACAACCACTGGCACGCCTACATCCCCGGCTTCAGCACATTCTGGCAGGCTAACGTTAGCCAACGCACGCGAGCGGAGGCCTTGATTCAACGATGTAAAGAAACGCACGAACCAGGTTCAGAGGCTGAGGGTTCGCTGTCTCGAGACTTCAGGCTCATAGAAGGGGAGCTCGCTTCATACGAGAACCACTGGTCGGCAATCAAAAAATGTTGCTCAATCACCTGGTTTCGTTTTGCAGTCCCCTACTCAAAGCTGGACGGCCAACAAACCTCGGTATTCGTCAGTGCTATTGTCGACAATGGGCATGAGTGGATGCGGGTACTCAGCATCACCGAGCGGGCCCTCTTAGTACAGATGGCCGAAGCAGATTTCCCCTGGGACGAGCCCGATGATGAGAACGATAAGGACGATGACCTGGAAGAGGTTATGAACGACGAAGAAACCCAGATTGAGGTTCTGAAGAGTGCAAAACAGCTGCTGGCTGCCGCTCGCGAGATACATGGAGGTTATCAACATCATGTACGAATCGTGCTTCCAAATATCTCTCGGGGCAGTGTACCTGCCATAGACAGATTTTTGAAAAGGATCGAATGTCTTGGTGACGACCATATCTCACTTGCGTTGGAATGCGCCGAAGAGAGCCAGACTTCGCCTCCACCTCTCGAACACGCGATACCAAACCTTCTTAGCCATGGCGATGCTGCGAAGATGCCACCGCTAACTCCATATCTGAACATCGACACGTCCATATTTGTGGCTCTGACGACAGATATCTCTCATAGTCATAGCTCACAGCGGAAGTGGCGTCCCAAGATCTTGGAAGACGTGGGAGATGAAGCGGAGCACGGTCCCAGGCTACCCAAGTCTCTTTACCCCCTTCTTCGCGGTCACACGCTTGTCTGCACTCGCGAGGCGGCGGAGACATGTCTGCGCATGGTATACGATGCATCTACAGAGTCGGAAGTCTCTCGCATAGAGATACTGCTTGGACAGGAGGATCGCAGGGGGAAGCAGGACGACAAGATGACTTTTCTGGAGCGTGTTTTACGGCAGGATGGGTGGCCCATGGAAAAAAAGGGCGATGAGGCATCGGAGAAGCGTCGCCTAAATCTTGTTGCAGAACTCCAGAAGCTGTCATGCCATCCAGTACCGGAAGACCTACAACTACCCATTCGCATCGTGGAAGACTTCCGCAGGGGGCACGTCGCAGACGAGGTCCGCAAGGGTACACTGCCAAAGGTTGTGTTGGCGGTGGAGCCAACGCTCAACGAGACGAATTGCTCGTCTTTCTTGTATGGGTGGAAGACGAACCACACGACGATAACATGTAATCGGCATGCTGTGAAGCGGTTAGGAAACCTCGTTAAGAAGATGCGGTGGTCTCGCGATGCAGAGGCGGCACCAATCATCGCTATGGACTGGGCTCGAGGTTTAGCAAAGATCCCGTTTCCAGGCGAGGTCTTGGTAGATGGTCCGCTGAAGGCTGGAACAGATTAACGCCTCATTCTCTCCTCAGGACTCTCGGCAACCCTTGTCGTGAACATGCTCTCTTGCATCCTTTGGTAATGATAATCCGTAGAGATCATGGAGATATAGTTTCTGCAGAGGTTGGAGCTCTGTAGACAAGCCTACGCTGGACGCCCACACCCCTGACTTAAGTAGACGAGGATATGTAAATACTGCATGAAAGATTGTCGCGGGGCGCCGCAGGAACCTCTAGATAGAGATCAAAAGTGCCCGAAGGATTCGGCAACATTTGTAAGCTCTCGCGCAATCGCAATTTGTCAGCACTAAGAAGAAACACATCACATAAGAAGAGAAACCTCATAAATAGCTACAACAACGCTGATCTCATTCCATATCCCCACATCTCATCGTGGCAGCGTCATATCGAACAAAATGGTCGCCGTTCCAACCACTCAGGCCCAGGCTTTGGCTTGGCTTCGACGCGTGAGTACATTTACCATCACCCAGGACTCCACGCTTACTTCACAGATAGTCCCACGATATCCACGACTCTCTCCAAACCACAGAATTTGATAAGATCTACTCCAAGAATGCTCAGGTCAAGTTCACCAACTTTCCTGCTGCCGAGGGTCTGGAAGCCATCAAGCAGCTTATGGACGCGGCGTTTAGGCAGTTGTCCTATATGAAGCATGTCACTCGCCAGGCTGGTAAATATTGCATCTCATGAAGTTTCCAAGTAGTGCTGAAAGTTTCTAGATCAGGCGGAGAACCGAATTTGGCTCGCTGTGGACATCACCTATCGGGTTAAAGGCGACCCTGATAATGAGGACATCAACATCCCGGCTGCGGGGCTGGTCACGATTGTGACGGAGGGAGAAGAAGCTGGCAAGATTGCACGTTTTGATGTCTTTCTTGATAACACTCCTGTCAGGGATAAGATCGCACTTGTTGCGAATTTGGACTCGTAGGCAGAGCTGTTCTATAGGAGATTAATTCACCGAAGTAGACACCTTTCCATCTCCCACAAGGTGGTTCTCAGGTTCACAGTCTCACCATCATTTTTTTTTTTTTGGGCTATCTCCCTGCTTATTTGGACCATACATGTAAAAAAAGGTTGCAGCCATGCCTCTTCGTCTTTAAGTCATCATCCAGGCTTGTTTATAGCACAAGTACACGATTGAATTCGGCTAATTGCACGCAACAATCAAGTCAAGCACTTATCTCTCCGACGTTTTAGCGTCGCTAACGCTAAAACTGATGCTCCAAGTTGCTGGCAGTTTCATTGCTTCTGAAATACCGTATAAGACTTCATCGCACCATTCAACCAGGCCGAAAAGACGCCTACAGCCCAGTCCACGTCGTGGAAAGGTGACTCCCAAGTCGTGCCGCTTTGCGGGCGAGGTTATCCTTTCACGCTTGATTTGGGAAAAGAAATGACCAGGAATGATAGGCCCGTAGAAAAGCGCCGGAAGTGAGCTTGCGTCGATGAACTATTGTTAATTTCGAGTGCTTCTGTATCAAGTCAATGGTCTCCTTAGAGCGTTTAAACCTAAATTAAACCTCGTATCATCATCCACCTCGTGAAGCCTGCATGTTGCAATGCTAATTTCTCACGTTGAAGGATTTGCAAAGGTGTCGTCGGAATCTTTGGACAAGTACAATTAGGCCAATGGCAACTATCCAAGCCTGGAAAGCCCCTTCCTGATAATGTTGAAAGGCGGCGCAGCCCGTCTATGTCATCCGATTGATTTCCATCCAAGCAGAAACGTTCAGGATGGATGCGAAAGTCAATTGAACTCACCTCATCCCAGAAATCACTTCATTTCAGCGTGATTAAGTGGGTGCTGTTCGCTCACAGCATAGTCGATCATGGTCGGCACAAATTATGCTAGTATTAGCAAGGTCCTATCACCAGTTCTCTTTTCTCGAGACCTGTATAAATTCTTGGCAACTGACAGTCGCATCCACAAATTTTGCGAGGCAGCATAAGCCGAGGTGTATGCAGCATGCATGTAAGGTCCTATTTATTTCCCTTACTAGGTAGCATAAGCATGAGGAATGAACCGAATTGAGGTGCTCTCGATATCAAAGCTCTCCACACATAAGACCAGACTCTGTAAGAATTTGCCCCTGACGAGCTTCGCAGGGGGGTACGTTGCATGTGCGAGCTAGGCAATACTTGATATCGTCAAGACTTGTGTCTGTATGTGAAACCATGTAGTTACGTAGAAAATGAAGTTCTCCGAAATCTTCAAAGCGTAGACTGGATGTGGACCTTCTGCGCCGTAATTATCTCACATGACGTGCCTCTCATGATAGTGGCGTCAATACAACGCCAAGGGCTTTACCGTGATGGATTTATCACGAGTTTATCAATAGTTCAATGCTTTTCATTCATGGGTCAGGGTACCGGCACGCCGGAAAGCGGGGATACGGTAAGGATGCGAGGTAACGATAAACGATCGTGGCTAGGTACTTTAAGGTACTTTAGGTACTTCACCCTGGAAGTACTCGGAGAAAGTGGCCAAACATTGAGAAAAAGCAGCGCATTTTATCATAGGGCTTGAAACAAACCAAATGCTGCCACGTTCATCACATGCTTAGGCTACCTTGACCGGGGCTTGGGATCATCCGCTCCCGAGGCAAAGCCAAGGCAAGAACAATCTACCAGCCGGGCCCCGGGTGTGACATCCGCATGCTGTAACACGGTCCTTCTTTCCTCATTCGAGATTAGCAAAACCGCAAGGTCATACTACCGACAATCTACATCAGCTCATCACAAAGACTTGGCACAAGGACTGGCATAGCTTCATCCTTCTTTAAGTTTTCAATGGAAGGCTTGATGCGCGAACGGCCAAAGCGTTTATACAGGGAATTAGGGACTGCCTAGCTAGGATTGTAGCGTACCTTGCTTGGAGCCTACGTGATGATTATGAGGAGAAGTTCAATTCCATGATAGTTAATGAAGGGGACAGATAGAGATCTTCTTGATTTCATTTGAGTGAACACGGGTGATGTCGGAAGATACCGGTAGCCTACAGCCTAGATCAATATCACAACGGGGATACTAGGGCTCAATGTCAAGTTGCTATGACAACCAGTTGACACAACATTGAATGGTCGGGTCCTTGTGGTTTCATTGAACATATAAGGAATCCGTTGGACATGTACAGGAATGTCTTGGTTGGTAAGACATGGATGTGATGTCTTGGTCACTCCATGTCTCAGTGTGATATCTTTACCGCGTGGCGTTAAGATTAGTGCACAACCTCAGGTGCTAGTTGGCTTGGGAGGTCTTTACGGCGTCAAAACAATACGGCGTGGAATGTATACGTATGCAGCAGCAGCGTGAGTACCACAATAATTCTTCTTAAAGACGACAGAGTTCAACATTGGTGAGTCAAAGAAATCCTTCACGTCAAGATCATCTCATGATATTATATCGGATTGCCTGGATAGTTTTCTGTTCCCTCAGTCCACGCAGTTCTCTTGCATAGACACCGGTGTAAAGATGCCCAACCAGCGGCTTCTGCATGAGCTTTGCGACGGTACCTAATTCTGTATGCTCTCCAGCATCAAACCACGCTAAATGTGCATTAGTCGATGGTCCAATCGCCGAACAGCCACAGACACATGCCCCTAAGCGAACAGTGGTGCCTCAATGGCAATGCGTAAGCAAAGGACCAATCTCTTTGTGGTTCATCATTCACTGATTTGTTACAGTGTGCATGTGGGCATGGAGCGATGCCTATCCGACTTGCAGCCTGCCAGTACTGTGGAACGTATCGGTGCGCCTATTGTCCCGTGAGCCGTGTCCGAACGAGGTCTGCAGAGAGCTGACAACGTGTAGTCGATTGCCATGAAATTCAGCGTTGTACTACGCTGAAATATCAATGGGGATCTACGCGCGCAGTTCATCACTGGCTGCTACACCGGATCCAAATTCGGGGGCGGTTTAGCCTGCGCCCCATGACTATGAAGGAAACCAAGACATATCATACAATGTCTCCAGATGAATTGCAAAAGGAAGCCTATAACAAGCCATCAATATACAATTATAACATGTTGATTACAAGAGCTATGCGGCTACAGTCATGATTACACGTAAGGTCCAGGAAATGAGATTGGGGTTTAGGCGGCGATAACGAAGATCAAGTAAAGGTCGGACATATTGAGTCGAACGTTTGATGAGAATACAAAATCTACGAAGATTTATATGACGGAGTGAGTAAGTACAAATATGTCACATCACCATGTGATAAATGTAGTGCTTTCTCTTGCGCGGTAAGTCGAAGCTTACTAGGGGGCCAAAATCTGCTGCCAAGATTCCTAGAGGTGAAGACTACTTCGCATGTTACCACGGCATACAACTTTTAAGAGCTTGGACGCATCACAGTCATGTAGCGTAGGTTTAAGATAGCTAGGCACCACGGGGAAATTTAAATTATCGGGGCCTAAATATGCACATTACTATTGGTGAAAGAAAAGAAGCCGTGTCAACACTCGATGATTCGCCGCCCTGCCTGTGAAGTATGCCTTGATTCGCCTTGCTGTTCATGTGGTCCTTTCCAAGAGACATACACAATTGGCTGCATGAGCATGGAGACGAGCTCTAAAATGCACAACACTCGTCTTAAAGGCTGTCCCACCACTGCCTTTAGGATGTGTGGTAGAACCACTCATTACACAGGGTCGGCTGCCCATGCTGGTTTCAGAGGCTGCTAAACGCTGAGTGGTGTCAAAGCGAGATTTAGACCAGTCCTAGTTCCAAGTGCAAGTCTGATATCTGATGCTCCCAAGACCAAAAATCCGTGCCGGTCGTTGGGCAGGAATGGTGCAGCGGTGAAGAATCGTACACTAAAAACCATTTTGTCGAAAGCTCTCCGCTTCTGATTAGAGCTCATACAATGTTGCGGTTAGGCTCGTTTGCATCGATCGGTCAGTTATCCCCAAAGAATGGATACAGCCCCGAAATGTCTGGAGGTAAGCAAATTGGCTGCCTGGATCAGCCACCGAAAAGATGGATCACAACACCCATACGTATAATGAGCAAAAAGCATACCTAGTTACTTCAAGGGTTATAAGTAGCTACTTTGCGCCACTCTTGGCCTCACGCTGTGAGCAAGTATGTACCATCGCACCATGCCGATATGTCTCTCGCACTTCCATCGAAGAAATTCGATTGGGATCGTCCACTTGTAGACTTTGAGTGGGAGGACTCCTCGTTCATTGATACCTTGATCGAAGCTCATGATGCCGCCGGCACCCCCTTGGAGCTCTTCTTGGGGATTCCGGAGCACTCCCCCCGCCATAACTACGAGTTCCCAATCTTGAATGCGGTTTGCCCAGACCAAATTCTTCTAGCTATCAGGGAAGGCTCAATCTTGTTGCCTGATAATGGAGTGGTCTGGCTGCATGACAGAAGCTTCAACGACGGCCCTCGTTCTTATAACGGGGTCAAAACAGCACGCGAATTTCATCAACTACTGAAATTGACCGTAAGTCGAATTTTCATACTCCCTAACTATGGCAGGCTTTGAGGATTCCCATTTTGTAATCAACAGCTAACAACATTGCCCAGAGGTTTGGTCAAGACGACCAGTGTAATGCGGAGGCTAGATTGATGTAAGACCAATTATCCCTCTCTAATACAGCCCACACATAATGACTGTAAACTTCCAGGCATATTCCCAATCCGGATCGATGGACTATTGGGCCTCTCATTCTGAGTGCTTCTCAGCTACAAATTCCAGTATACAGAGAGTTGTTCATGAAGCATTTTGAGGGAGACAGCCACATAAGAATGACCTTTTCAGTGAGTAGGCCTCATTCAGCATCGAAGCATCGAAAGGCCCACTGTTTACCAATGTCAGCCTTGTCGGAGAACATTTGCTCTCCAGTTCCATCTTCCATTCTTTGCTTGGCGTGGATCGACAGAGCCCTGTCGAGATGGCCGTTCCACATCAGATGGTGTGCCAACAAGAGAGACCACCGATGTCTCTTTCCTGTCTGCCCCAATATTAGGTGAGACTTCCAATGCAGAGGTCAAAGAACGCGAGTTTCTCTATGAGGCTCAAAGTTCTATTGCAGTCTTCGGTTGGAACCGAACCATTTGGACGGCATGCTCTCTTGCCGACACCTACTTCTACCCGGATGCGGTGAGTCCAGACAATGAGGATCTATTAATCTACTACCGAGACGTCGAAGAGATTGAGTGGGATGCAGTATCAATGGCCGAATTACCGATCGACCGTGTTAGCATTAGTGATCCTAGAGAATACTTTCTCATGGTTCTGAAGATTCGCGGTGAGAAATGCAAGGATGAGTGGAGGAATGTTCTTTATCACATGAAAATCGGAGTCCGGAAATATGTAAGGATAACATGCCTCCGACTTGAACATACTGCTTTGGAGATTGTCTAATCGAGTCTTGCCTCATAGCTGCGCGCTCCTCACGTTCCACGGTTGAGACAAAAGCAGACACTTGGTAACGCAGATGACCAAGCTGAAGCAATTGAAAAAAGTGAAGCTTGGGTGAAAGAAGTGAACACGATTTTGACACGTCTTACCGAGACATTGTCCAAAACGATCACGGCATGGGATACATTCTCTTCTCGGGATGCAGTCCTTATTTCACGCTCTTTTGAGCCCATTAGCTCAAAAAATGCCGACTTTCTGCTCTATGACATCGCTGTTCTGGCCGACGAACTCAAAAAGATCTGGGTCGATCTCAAGGGTCTCGAAGGTTTAATCGAGAAGTTTAAAGCACAGGTATGCCTCTTTAAACAATTACTACCAGTTTCTTACTGAAAATATGCTAACTCAAGCCGTCTCGAAGTTGAGCTTACATGTTGCGGTCGGCGGCAATAGAGCAATTGTGCTACAGCAGTGGAACATTACTCTGGTTAGTCACTGTAGTCACTAGTTGACGACCTGCAGTTTAAATATGGATCACAGCGGCAAAACCGTGCTAACAGCCGTGCTTGATAATCATTAGTTACAGTTTGTTTCCCCACTAGCACTTGCTGGAAGTATTATGCAATCAGGGAAACCAAATTCGACTTCTACTGTAGTATTGATCAGAGGATTGGGGAATTTTCGATATTTGATTGTGTGAAGAATCATTCGACGTTGTTGGGTTGAGCGCTGTCGAGAAGCTCCGAAACGCGCTACGTGGCACTAGCACGATCTACCGCGTGGCGTCTCTGCGCACGTCCCGACGCGATGGATCTCGAGCTAGATTCGACGTCCATCACCGTTGCGAGGGAGGCGGTGGCAGCGAGCGACGAGGACCTGCCATCACGAAGGGTGCGAAAGCCATCCGCGAAAGCCCAACTGAACCAGACTCATCAAGAGATAATCGACAATGCGACCGACGGAGCGACGGAGGTTGCTGGTGGTGGCCGGCGGACGACGACCAAGCGAGCCACAACCCTGGCCAAGGAACGCGCGAAACCCATAGAGGATGACGACAAAGGGCTGCTCCTGACGATGGGCAAGCAGGTCAAAGAGCTACACACAGCGGTCAAGATCATGTTCGATGCGTGGAAGAAGTCGGAAGCACGGAATAAAAACGTTGAGGCAGAGCTTCGCGTGGTCACTTCGGAGCTGCAAACAGTCAAGAGCGAGCTACAGGCCGTCAAAGGAGAGCTGCAAGCGATGAAAGAACGCGTGGAGGACGAAAGCGCCAAGACGAACGAAAACCTCGAAGCACTCGCAACAGTTGCTGCGACGCGGAACAGCCCAAGTGTGTCCTACGCGGACGTCGCGCGAAGCGGCTTAGGTGGGCAAGGTCGCGACTCGCGGGTAGCCACGGCGGGCAACGCGACGCTGCCGAGCCGCAGCGACCCCTTCTGTACGATCGATACATCAAGAGTTGAAGAAGGCAGCGACAAGCTCAACCCAGGCCGGATCCGGGCTGCGGTGGAAAAGGAGATGCGCGCGTTGGACGGACAGGGTAGCTGGCGGTGTCTGGCCGTCACGGTAGACCCAAGGAACGCGGATAGGATCCGGATCATTTGTCGCGACGATGCGGAGCATAGGTATGTCAAGCAGATCGCGGAGAAGAGCTTCGGCCGTGGAGCACGCGTGCTACGAGACGAACTCTATCCCGTGAAGATCGACAACGTGAAGCGAATTGAGGTACTGGATGAGAAGGGCAATGTCAGGGCTGAAGCGGCGGAGGCACTTAGCCGAGAAAACGAGACCACGGTTGCCAAGATTTCTTGGCTTAGCAAGAAAGAGATACCCAAGGCGTATGGGTCCATGGTCGTGTTCGTGACCAAGGCCGGTGATGCGCGTAGACTGATCTCCGAGGGCTTCTTCCACGTTGGAGGAGAGTCCGGCACGACGATGGCGTTTGAACGGCGGCCGCGCCCCCAGCAGTGCTACAACTGCCAGCAGATCACGAAGCACAAGGCGTACCAGTGCGTAAACCCCCGGGTGTGTGGACGATGCGCCAAGGTAGGCCACCACCACTCTGAATGCCGTGAGACGATCGTGACATGTGTGCCCTGTGGCGGACCGCACGAGTCGTTCAGCAAGAACTGTCCGAAGCTGTATCCGCGTTCCCATGAGTAGGAAGGTCCAGATCCTTCAGCTCAACGTGAGGAAACAGGCTGCAGTGCACGAAAGTCTGATGAATGATGAGGCGTTGCGCGACTTCACGGCCATAGCGGTGCAGGAGCCATGGGCGCGGAGGATAGAAGGTAAGGTCATTACGGTTCCGATGGGCAATAGCAGGTGGACGAGGATGGTACCAACGGAGTGGAGGGACGAAGGAAGATGGGGAATCAGGAGTTTGCTTTGGGTGAACAGAGACGTAGAGACAGAGCAGCTGCCGATAGCGTCCTCGGATATCACTGCGGCCATCGTCCGGCTTCCGGATCGAAGACTGATAGTGGCGTCGGTGTACGTGCCGGTGCAGAGGCCGGAGATGCTGCGGCAGGCGTGCGACCTGCTGAGACAAGCTATCACGAATGTCCGAGGAGGAACAGGGGAGAGGGTGGACGTGGTTCTGGTAGGAGACTTCAACTGCCACGACTACCTGTGGGGAGGTGACGATGTGTCGGAGGGCCGGCAGGGCGAGGCGGACCCGATCATCGATCTAATGAGCGAGTACTCGCTCCGCAGCCTCCTTCCGCGTGGCACGAAGACGTGGGAGAAGAACGATGCGGCAACGACGATCGACCTATCCCTCGCGTCCGAAGAGCTAGCAAGAACGGTGGTACGATGCGGCCTGCACGAGACGGACCACGGGTCGGACCACCGGGCGATCGAGACGACCTTCGACATCGCCGCGCCTGAGATGGAAAGCCGGCCACGGCTCCTCCTCAAGAACGCCCCATGGAAGCAAATCAATGAGAGAGTAGAAGCAAACCTAGGGCGGAATGCCAACAGGAGGTACGGTGCAGCAACAGACGGATCGACTGATGTCTGTGGTGTGCGAGGCAGTAGAGGCACTGACACCTACGGCCAAGCCATCACCGTATGCAAAGAGATGGTGGACGGCTGACCTCACCCAGCTCCGGCAGATCCATACCCACTGGAGAAACCGGGCGAGAGCGGAGAGAAGGGCAGGTAACAGTCAACCTGAACTGGAGCAACGCGCACGCTCGGCAGCCAAGCAATATCACGATGCCATCCGACAACAGACTG